AATTGAAATAATATTTATTTTTATAAAAATAGATATCAAATTATTATAAAATATTTCATTTTTTCATAAAAATATTATATATATATTTTAAGACGATTATTTGAAAACATATTTTGATATAATTTTCTGAAATACATGCATAATTATAATTCGCCCTAAAAATTATTATTTATAGAAAGAGCTGTATAAATAAGATTATTTGAAAATTTTATTTTTAATAGAAAGCTATATATCTTTATTTCTCGAGAATGAAATCTTCAAATCAAAAACCCTGAATTTCTAAAATTCAGAACTATAGAATATTCAAACTCGTATTCTAGAAATCTTAAATCTAGAAAATCTCAATTTCCAATTCATTTAGAAGCCTATGAATCTTAAATCTTTATATCTAGAATCTAAAAAATCCCTAAAGTCCTGCCCTTTATCGCTAGCTAGCCCCAGAAGGTTGCCTGGCACGCCTTGAAGAGATAAAGAATTCTAGCCAATCCCGACGAATCATAATTTAAATGAAACTATTAGATTTTTTCAGATTTTAAGAAATTTCAGCCAATTAGATCAATCCGGAAATATTTATATATAATATTCTTTTGCGAGCATATTCCTAGATAAAAATATTTCTTATTTAAAATCTATCTAATACGTTCATTCTTCTTTTTCTCAAAATTTAAATTCGAGATATATCTCTCTTTCTAGACCTCTTGAGAAAAAGATGAATTTATTATATCAAAAATTATAAAAAAAATTTTTCAAGATATCTCAAAATTTTTTACAATGAGAATAGAAAAAATAAAGCCATATTTTCGATTCTAATTTATAAATAATTTTCGAGAATTAATTCAAAAGATTGAAGAAGAATATCAATATTAAAATTTAATAGCTTCTAATAATAATGAAAAATATTATAATAATTCATTATAATATAGATTAATCATTTCAATCATAAATACAAATTATAATATTTTGTCGCAATATATTTTGTCAGATTTTTTTAATTTTTTTATCTTATTTTATTTTTCTAAATAAATGAGAATTATTATTATTAATATTATAGTTTTTAAATTCTTAATTCGATTAAATGCCGATCCCTTAAAAATAAAATAAATGCAAAGGCCTCCAGGTCTGCATTGTAAAATTTAAATTCTAGAAATTTTAATCAAATATCCAGAATTCCGAAATCTTCAAAGAGATTTTTAGATCAATATCTCCCAGCTCTTCAAAATTTCAATTCTAGAGGTATAGATTTCGAATATTTATAGAACTATTTTTATATTAATAATATATATATATATTCAGAAAAATTATTCCTAAAAAAAAAACCCATACATATTTCTATATGACTCTATAATTATAATAAATGACTTTTTAAAAATAGATATGAAATTAAATTAAGCAAATTATTAGAAATATTAGATAGATATTCAATATTTTATTAAGATATCGATTTATAATCATAAAAATTAATAATATCAATAAATTCATAAATATTTAATTTTCAACTAATGACGAAGCCATAATTTTCATATAAGAATTTTCCGATAAGAGTTTTAGAATATCGTATTGAAAAGAATATAAGAATTTATGAGAAATAATATTTTATATCACGATATTTTCTATTTATATTCAAGCCGAATATTAGAAAATATCGATATCTTCTCGCTTTAGTTGCCGAAGCTAGATAGATCTCAAATTATTTTTAGTATTAAGGATCACGAATGATTCTAGATTTTATATATATCACGCATATTGCCCCATAAATATAATAGTCCCAGTGCAGCATCCTACATGCTATGCAAGTCTCGTCTCGCAGAGGGGCATACCATATATAGTGCTCTCTAGTATATGACTACTTCTACTCATGAATCTCTTGTACCTTATAAAAATTTTTAACTTGAAGCAGTTCTAGAAGATGACCGATCAGATATCGCAGCTTTTTGCAGACGGGAACGTAGAAATGTAAGTTGCGGGCGAGGGCAGAGTGGTGGGCGAGGGCGTGTGCGTCGTGGGAGTGTGGGCGAGGGTCTGCGGGTGAGGGCATAACGAGGAGTCTTTTGAAGTATCAGGCGAGCGCGTCTGGGTCGTTGAGTGGTGGGCCAGACAGAGTATGCGTGTCGTGGGGAGTGTCGCGAGTAGCGGGTGTCGCGGGCTGGAGTGGTGGGCGAGGGTGTATGTATTCTGGGGAGTGTCGCGGAGAGGGGGGGCGAGGGCGTGGGTGTCACAGAGGGCCCACCGCCCCCTCTCCGCAAAATTTCCTGTCTTCACTGTGTCTCCGTTTATTCTCTTATGTTCTCTTGCCATTCGCCTCACAGGCCCCCGGCCCCTCTATTTAGTCCTCCTCCCTGAGGCCCAAAAGTTTAGTGACATGCGCTTCTCGGCCACGATTTCGACCCCCCACCCCAGCTGTCTGCATCCATTCATTCTTCCGCTTCCCTCGCCACTATCGAGCCGAGGCGGGCTGCATAGCGGTAGAATTATTCAAACATGATATAAACCAGATTTATATTTATATGCTCCTGCACTTAAAATAGAGGTTGGTACTATTAAGAATTTTCAATTTAAGATTGAAGTTTCATATATGATGTCGAAATTTGTTATAAGAATTATGGTATATTCTTTATAATTTACGCTTCTACTTTAGAGTTGGTAAGAATATTAGCAGAGAAAGAAAAAGACAGATACATAGGTAGATAGGCAGATAGATTAATAGATAGGTAAATAGACAGATAGATAGAGAGAGAGAGAGAGAGATATATATATATATATATCTATATTGGGGGAGTATTGTAGTTTCATATATTGATATCTTATTTCTTGGCTTCGTAATTCGGCGCGGTGAGCGGATCAGTGGAGTGCTAGATTATAGAATATATGATTTCTGAATAGAGGATTTGTTCCCCGCCTTCGGTGTGGGGATATTAAACTTTAAAATCAGCTGTTACCCCCGCCCGATCCTCGTCCGCTGAGACTACTGCCTGGAGTACCCGCCCTCAGAGACTACCGTGAGGCTTCCAGGAGTGCCCAACTCCACAGACTACCGTCCTGGAGCACCCAGCCCCAGAAACTATCGTCAGAGAGACTCCCTAGAGTGCCCAACCAGAGAGGCTACCGTGAGACTCCCTGGACTGCCCAAATCAGAGACTACTGTGAGGCTCCCAAGAGCGCCCAACCAAAGAGACTGCCGTAAGACTCCCTGGAGTGCCCAAACCCCAGAACTTCCGTGAGACGCTCTGGGATCGTCGACTGACCCGAATCGGAAACTCGTGTGTTGTTACATGTACGGGGACCCCACGACCGTAACGCCAGTCAGCGGTGTGATCCCTCGGATCGTAGAAGACCTGAATCGAACATTCGTGCTTTGCTACGTGTAGACCCCATGTCCGTGACGCCGGTTACTGGTGTGACCCCATGGATCGCCCACCAACCTGAATCGAAAACGTGTTTTATTACGTGTCCGTATGGCCAGTCGATGGTGTGACTTTATGGGTCGTCGAATGACCTGAATCGAACACTTGTGTTTTGTTACATGACCGGGGACCCCACGACCGTAACGCCAGTCTGCCAGTCAGTGGTGTGGCCCCCAATGCACTATCTGCAGGGTGGGGATGTTCGGCAGCTTCAAGTCTCGGCAGGATCTTGTTCGGAGCTATGAAACGCGAGGCTGTTGAGGCTACAACAATGACCCGTATTACGTGCGCGCTGTGACGACCTGCCATTGTTTCTGGGGGTTCCTCGCTGCCCAACTCTAGCCCTCACGCTCGCGCTTGCAAGCCTGGGTGACGGCTATTGCGCGAGCAATGAGCATTGAGCAATGGATGGTAATAGTGACATCGTCAGATAAAACAATATAGATAGAAAAGATCAAACAAGAAAGATAACTGTAAATTTTCGAAACTAAGGAAGAACGAGACACCGGAGAGATTGGATAATTTTGATAACTAGGCCCATTTGGCAGCATTGACGAAGACAGACACATCGGGGGTTGAGAGACAACATATCAAGCAAAATGGTCGACTGTAACGAGACACGGAATCGAGAGCGTCAGGCAGCAAAAGACCATGTCGGCCTTGTGAGGGAAGCCCAGCTCCGCAAGAAGATGACTGTCCACCCTGCTTTCTCATCAAAGCGGACGTGTAGCCTCTATCAACCTTTGGACAACTTTGGCCAAGCAAACGTCCAACAACCTGCATCGACGGTGTTGTACTCTTTCAGGAGCACACGATCACTCGTCAGCATCTTCGCTCGGTTTCAGGGATACGCCTCGGCAAGGGCGGGAAGGATGCACTTCATGTGCTTTCACAAACATCCGATGCCTTGTGAGAGCAGAGCCAGCTCGTAGAGCACCTTCTCAAAGTCGCGTGAAAGATGGACACGAACCAAGGGTGGTGTGACCTGCTCAATCTTTCCCAAGGTGCCCTTCAAAGGGCTCATCTTCTTGCCCAAGCTTCCAGGCCTCGGGTATGGTTTGAACCTGCTGGTGCAGGGGGCCACAGCTCTTTTAGCCACGCCCCAGGTCCCGGGCAAGAACGGAAGCAGGGAAACGCTGTCGTAAACGGCCTCAAGCATGTCAAGGGTATGGCCATAACAGATAGCAAACGTGCTTTGAACGATCCGAAGCCTGCACGCAGGCCAGACAGTCTTCGATGCATTCCTGACCACCATCAACTTTTCAGCACGACAAAAGCCATGAATGGGCGCGAGCTTGGGCGGGCTATGTTTCCGAAGGCCTTCCCGCGACGACCTCGGCCTCAGCTGATGTGAGAAGTCAAACCCTGAGGAAGTTCCCTAACCTCATGTCAAGCTCGGGACTGGCGGTCCGTACAGCAAGTCGACCAACCTCTCCTGGTTTGGGCAGGCCCCAGGATAAGATGCCAACTTGCCAACTCCAAATTCTGTCGGTCCAAGGCTATGCAGTCAGAACCTTAGAGCCTCAAAGCACCGAACACCGGAGGGACTTGCCCAAGAGAGCCTGACCAGCCCAGCCAGCAGGAATTCAGGAGATCCCACCAGTACCGCACCCGCGTGTGATTGCCGAATATTTCATTGTCATTGAGCACGTGGGTGGCTGCCAGGCAGCTGCAGGCGGTCTTCGATTCTACAGCCATCGGCAAGCCATGAGTAGCCGGTTCTCAGCAGGTTTGCCAGCTTCAGCGTGGTCCGGGCCGCAGGTCCGTGTGTTGAAACAACTCCAAGACCTGCACTATAGTATTCTTTCCGGCTGAAACGCAAGGTACACATATCGGAGGAGGAACTGTTGAGCTCAACTCTTCCCGTTCTAGCACTCCGCTCAATCGCTCTCAGAGTCGCCGAAACTCGTCAGGATGCCCTTTGCGTCCAACATGGCCCCACTTACCGCTGGCGACTTGGAGGCTTGCCAAGAAGGATGGATCTCGAGCTTCTGCTGTCCTGAAAGCCGGGGCTTCGACTACGCGTGACAAACACATTCGGAACTGGGTGAAAGTAAAAGCACGAACGAAGACGATGGCGCATGACGCAAAACGACATCAACTTGGACTACATGAACTAAAGTAACTAATGCAAGCAAAGTAGTCCCCTGGGTCCAACACCCTCGAATGAAAAACAAGCTTGGTCTCACCACACTACATCCTCCTCACGGAGCCCTGCTGTTTGGGTGGGTTTGGGGAACCTCGAGGATGCATCCTAGTAACACATGTCGGGAGCCGCGCTGGTTTCGGGGCACCAGAATATTGCGTCGTCCAGTTGCTAATGCTATCATCTGTCATTCCTCGTAGCACCTGGACCTGACATTTCTTCAGGCAGCGCTCTATCACCATGTAAACTAACCGCACGTGACACCTGACGCAGTGGTATGCCTTGCAGGGTCTTTCCGTGCTTCGGGGCAACTGCCCTGGTGGATGAACGGTTAAAGTACGACGCGAACCAGCGGAAGAGTAAAGCTACTCCTAAATCCCACCAGACCCCAAATACCCAGCACAAAGGTTGTAGGAAATCTGTCTATAGAGGAGACTCCGAAACGTGATCCAATACAAATACAAAAGGGTTCAATCCCTTGGACCAGAATACGGGGCAAGACCTGTTTAAACTGCAGACTTCGTGCACAAACATGCTGCGAGAGAGAGAGAGAGGTTGACGCAATCCTTTTCAAATCAAGACACGGATGCGCTCCAGGCGTTCTTTGCGCCGTTGCTTCTTCGCTTCTTTCCATGCTCCTCCCAGCACATCTCGCCCCTCTTGCGTGTAGGAATGCTTTACCTATCTATTTGGCATATATGTGCGTGTGTGTCCATGTATAAGAAGAACACACAGCAATGCATGGCACTTCCTAGCTGGCGTACCGTCTGTGCAGGCACCAGGCAGAGGCTCCTCGTTCCGACGGACCAGCCGTAACAACCTGCATCCGAAATCTTCCACGTTCCCCTATACTTCAGCGCAACACTCGTGCCATCTCGTGCCCCGGATGTGTGGGCCACTTTGTCACATTAGCTGAGCTGACATCAGCCAAGCCTCAGGCGGCCCAGGCGACACAGCGAGGTCTTCTGCGAGGTCGAAAAAATCGTCCTCCTCAACCTCACCCCCCTCATCTGCTGAGCAAGGCTTCTGTCGAAGTTCGTCTTCCCCACTGTGCACGCGATCGACTGCGATTTCCTCCGGTGCCAGCTCCTCCTCCTCCTCCTCCTCTTCTTCCTCACCCTCACCCTCACCGTCGAAGTCCATGTCGGACAACATGGCTGGACACACGGGGTCTTCAGCAGTTTGCCCGGTGTCTTCGCCCAGACCAATCTTTGCTGTTGGTAGGTCAGGGAGCGGTGCCTCTTCTTCAGACTCCTCGCCCGCAGCCTGGCGCAGAGCGCGGGCCTGTGCGGCAGCCTTCAGCAGCAAGTCCACGGCAGTTTGCTCCGCGCTGCGTCCAGCCGCACCTTTGTCATCAATCTTTGGCTTCTTGCCTACGAGCCCTCTCCCTCTTGCGACCTTGTTCCGGCGAGGCGTCTGGGCGCGTTTTATGCCTGTTGATTGCTTCGTGCGACTTGTCTTGCTTGTCATTGCGGCTTCCGGTTTGTGAACCTTTGCAGGGTCTGCACTTGATTTCGAGGCAGGCCTTCGTGCTTCCCTCAGCGGTTGCAGAGGCGCTGGCCTCACAGGCTGCCTGTTCGTGTCTTGCTCAACGGCCTGCTTCTTCTTGACCTTCTTGGGGGCCTTAGCCCTCTCTGCAACTCGCACACCTGCAAGCGGTGCTTCGTCTGGCTCTGCTCCGGTGAGGCGAGAGAGCTTCACTCGCAAGGCTTCAGCGATGTTCTTTCGGCCGGATCGCTCGGCTGCTTCCAGGGACTTGCGGCAGGCCTTGACCTCAGCTCCCCCAAGCCGAAGCTCTAGCAACTCCGTGTCCAAAATTTCACAGCAGCGCCCTCTACAACAGCTCGCATTCCTGCAGGGCTACTTGATCATCCAACGGCTTCTCCTTGATGAACCATCGCGACTGCCCACGGTCTTTTTCTTTGCCCATCAGAACGGCAGTTTAGGCAAGCTAACTCTAGCTAGCTCTTTTGTCGTCTCTTTAAGCTACTGCCAATCCCAAACCGATCTGCGCTGCATGTGGTTGTCATTCCAAAACATGTCCAGTGTCATTGTGTGATGCTTGGTGCTTTAGTGACTCTAGGGATTTATGACATATTGGATGTACCGGGACAAAACCGGAAGCTGTCCTAGTCCCAGGTCCTAGCAGTCTCAGCGAATGCAGCGCTGCACGGAGCCGCGGCAGTCCCGGCCCGAGCTCGTCCGACGCCACGAAACTGTTTTTAAGCTACCGATTTTGTGAGATTTCGCCGGAGTCTGAGTTACCATAACAATTACAAGAAAACCCTCTTGCCATGGATCCCTATTCTGGTAACTAAGCCTAACTTGCTTGACAAGAACCCAGCCCTCTGACGGTTTCAATGTCGCGTTCCGGGTGTATCTGGTGGTGGCTCCTGTGAGGTCCATGAGGCCGCCCAAGTACTCGGCCAGGAGCAAAGGGAATTCTAGGCCGCTGATGTCCTTGCAGGCTTCTACGCTTCTTCTGGGGCGGCTGAGCGTGAGAGAGCTCTGGGAGGCGCGCTTGCATCTCTTCCATGCTCAGCAGCTTGCCGTCAATCCCTTGCAGAAACCGAGTGTCAGGGAAAAGCTGGGGAAGCGCTCCTGAATGATTCTAAGTAGGTGCCTCTTGCATGCCCAGCCCACAACCAACCCGGAACTTTCTTACTCGTAAGTCTGGCGTGGGACAAGGGCCTGCGGCCTGGGGGGGGTGGAGAAAGCTGATGAATATTCTGGATGTGTCCTCTTCGGTTCAGGCTGTACAGCCGAGCGCCCGGAAGCATTGCTGGGCATTTGCAGGCATAAAACGACAAGAGCTAACTTCCAAGCAAACATATTCACCAACGAACTGAGTTCGCTTAGCTCGCAAGTACATCAACTCAGCAACCCCAACCAATGCCGAAGCCCGTCGCTGGGTGTCGGGCGGAAGGCGCGATATGCGAGTGCCTGCCAGAATCACCCCGGTGGTGATTCTTACCGACATGGGCTTTGTTTTGATTAACCCCGAAGAGTGGCCTCGGCTAACTCTTCCAAGGCGCCGCTGAAGAATCCAATTCCTGACTCCATTCGCGGCAGAAGCGAAAAAGCAAGTCTCCAAGAAGACCACGGTCTCTCCGGGCGAAGGTCCAACCAAGCTGAGATTAGTTGCCCACATCTGAGGACAGCGCGCAATGTGGGCGAGGCTGCAGCAAACGATGCGTAGATGCCGTTGGCCTGCTTTTGCTTGCAACGAACACAAGAAGACTCTTTTAAGCTTTTGTCCAGCGCCTTCTGCGCACAAAGCTGCAGCTGCTCATCTGCCTGGATCTGAAGCATCGCTCCGTCACCTTTTCCTGCTTCTTGGGCGGCCTCTTACTGAGACCTCCGACTCAGGATGAGGCTCTCTTCTCATCTGAACCTGGGCCCGCCGGTGCAAATCGTGTGATGCTGATCTCTGACCTCTCCCAAAGGATCTGACGATGCAGTGCGTAGATGGCATTCCTTGCTTTGCAGACAGAAACAAGTTCTCCGAACGGCTGGCTTTTCACTACTATCTTAGTCTAATGTGACGACAGTGAGCTTGCACGTGATTCGCAATTCTTGTAGTGAACTGTCTTTGACAAACTAACAACCACAGCTTGACAGCTACAACAAGAGCCTCGTTGCATCGTCATGCGAGAATGTTGAACCGTCTGCACAGAGAACATCAGCACAAGCAACACGTGCAACTCCAACCAACAGTGACACTGATAAGGCAAGCGGCTTTGCTGCTTTGACAACGTCACGCGACTGTTTCATTACCTGCATTACAGAGCCACCGAACTCACTGCACGTGTCCTTGTGCCCTTATGCTGTCAATCTGAGTGCTCAAGGAATGGGGAGCGGGAGCTGTCTTCGAGACTGTGCAAAACTGTGCATCTCAGACTTCGTCTTGTAACAGGCTTACAAGACCAGCAGGCCTGCTCCCGACGCTCATCGAAGTCATCGTACCCGAGCTTGATGACCTTTATTGTGAGGCTCGCGAGATTCCAGGATGCTGCGGTGCTGGAGGCCCCGGCGCCAATAATCTCCAAGTTCAAGGCTGGTGGGGCATCGCTAGCCTGTTCCCAACGCGGGTTGAGAAACTCGTGCCCTCGTCCGCATGTATAGAACAAGCCTGAGGGACGTGCGGAGCTGGGATCTGCAGGGAGCTCATCGTCCCCAGCTGGCACTTTCCTTGTTAGCCAAGCGAAGCAAGACGCACGAAAGGCAGCAGATTTCCTCTTTTCTCACCCGGAACAGCTGGTCGCATCTGCAAAGCACCTGTGTCATGTGACCTGCCTTTTCCCTTCCTGCCATGTTGACCCGTGTCTTCGGTGTGCGGCACGCTTCAATGTATCCATTTTGGAGCGCGGCGCGACTAGTTGGGGCCACATGCAAGTTCCTGAACTCATACGGACCGGTTTCTGTGTCGTGGTCTTGCGCAAGAGACCTAATTACGGCATCTAATGGCTATTAGCGCGCCAGCCGGGCCGACCGAGGCGGTTAAGGTCTCAGACAAGCCGGCGGGGCATACAGCACCTGCAAGCAGCCGGCAGCGTGCTCATGCCTCTTGGACTTGGACTTGGGGACGGTCTGAGAGAACGAACACTTCGATCTTGCTGTGGCAGTGCTGGAGCGAGTCTCGACATGCGGTTCGCGCAACAAACAAGCCTTACTCATCCGCCTCGCCACTACAACTCACTTCAATTGTTGACTGCAACTCGCAGAGCATTTTCAAACTTATTCGTCCAAAGCAGTCCCGGGGCATCCTCTTCTGATACAGTAGTGCATGACACCACTCGTGTAACGACACGGTTTCACCCGTTGGTGCATGTCGGTGTGGGGTTTCTATGCACCTGGTGGCACGTGCGTTCCTCTATCAAAGCGAACGTTCTTTCTTTGCAGGATGTCCGCAAAGATCCAAGCAGATTAATTCTCGTCAAGCATGCTCACGGCTCACGTGTGCAAGCATGACGCTAATCTGACAAGATGCTGCTGCAATGGCTGACTCAAGCTATGTTCACGTACAATCAAGTGGCTCCTCTGTCAGGATTGCTGAGGGATCGCGCTGCCTGGCATTTGCTAGAGCAAGGTGCAGTCTTGCCAACTCTTTACCTTGAGCACTTCACTTGCTGGCAAAACAGTGCCATCTCGCCTCTGGTTTCGTAGCATGTCTCATATTTCATTCCGCTTCGTCCGCTAGGCCTTGCGAGGTCGATCTCGTAGACCAACGACTCCAGCCTCAAGCAAGCACCACAATTTGTCCATGTGCTGGCGCTGCACAAGGCGCTCCGTGGCTCTCTCAGTACTGGACTTCTTGACCGTGTACTTCACCCCATCGAAGCCTGCTCCGTGCTTGCACAAGCTACGATCATGGCACTGAGCGCCTGGACTCCCTTGGTTGCGATTGCGATGCCAAGCTGGTGCCATCTGAGCCCGGTGCGGACTCGCAAAGAACTATTCCTGAAATTGAACTGCATCAACGCCTGCAACAAGCACGGTACGCAATCATCAGAAGCCGGTGCAGCAGTAGCCATGGCGATTTTTCGCGATAGTTCCGGTCGTTCTTATCCAAGCTTGAGCATCTGTGAGTCAAGACAAGGTAATTATCACTCCCGAATGCCTGGTCCTCACCTACAAGCAGCATGCACGGAGGGCGCCTCTTCCATCGTCTGCGCTAGCTCGAGGCAAAACTTCACCGAACGAAGATCGAGGGACTGGCACCAAACTAACACAAAGCAGCTTGTATCTGTGGAGTTTTGTGACGTGTGGTGTGGATGGGCGAGGCAGGCAGACTACGTGGATCTGGTGCCGACAGCCAGCCTGCCCACGATTCACAGCATACCTGTCCAGAAGCTGCTCTGGTGTGCGTGAGAGAGAGAGAGAGAGAGCAAGGCAGCAGAAACGGAGGCACCGTTCCAACTCCCTCAGGCTGCTTATGGCACCGAGCAGGTAGCACCTTTCTGCAACGCTTTCTTGCGACTCTTCGATACGGTTGACGCTGCTCTTCGGCTTCACGGCTACCGAGCTTTGCGCTCGTTGTCGAACTCGGGGATGCCAGTCTTCCAGCGTGGCGCGACCTTCAAAGTGATACAAAGCTGCGAGCTTCCGAGTCACTGGGCCCAGCCTCTGGGAGCAGCTCGCCCGTTTCAAGAAAGCTCTTGAATCCAAGGGTTTGGATGTAGACCTGGCACGAAGACTGGGGAAGAACTCGGCATCTGGAGGTATCTAGGCTAAAAACATGGGGACCCGCCTCAAGGAAGCCGGCTACATTGCAGGATTCGCATAGGCGAAGGCGTCGTGGAGGCGACTGCCAAGGACCGCTGACCTGGCCTCCAGCTGCATCACCGAGACCCGGAAGCTGATCCACCTCCTGCGCCACTTGGAGAGGATTGAACCGCAGATGCTTGCCAGCATATAGGCCCCGTTCGTCGTCCTTCTTCCAACAGAGAGCTCTAACCGACGACTAGCAGACTAGCAGGTCACGCCGGAATCGCTTCAGCTCTCCAAGACACCTTGTCCCGCGGGTGTCCTCGAGGACTGCTTGTGCCCCCGCGACATCCGAGCCTTGTAAGTCTCTGTGTGTGTATGTGTTGATCTGTTTTGGCTGAACACTGGGTGGGCTTGACAGGAGAAAGCGCCCCACGACACGGACAATTCATGACTATTCTTGGACGCACGGATGCAAACAACGCTCAGGTTTCGCCACCACTGGAACCCTCGCAAGCCTAACACCGGGTGAGCAGCTCACAGGCGAATTAGCTGCTTTGGCTTTCACGTCAAGTCACCATCTACGACTCTACATATCCAGTCATGCTTGAAGGAGAACTAGAGATGCCGCCGATCCAAAGGCATTTTCAATTTCATCTGAGGCAGACGGTTCCAGGCAGTCTCTTCTCTAGTCTGGGTGCGATCTACACAGTCCACAGTTTGATGCAGCACCGTTTGAAAGTCATGTCTCTGGTGCTCTGCGTGTTAAGGCCCGAGCACTGCAATTTTGCGCAGGCAATGTAGCAAAGCCGCCGGCCAGTGCTTACGACCTTCCGTTTGAGACTAAAGTGACTAAGGATGAAGAAGTATGCAAAAAAAGGCATGCGGTCGAATGTGCGAGATTTTGACATCTGCCTCCTGCAGCCCGGACCGAGCTGCGAGGACCTGCGGAGGACATAAGCTGGTGCTGAGGCGGGGCTATCGGCAGCCTCCCGGGTGTCGAGGTGCATCAGTTCTTTGGTGTGACCGCAGCTCATCAAACTTATATAACTAGCACATGAAGTTCCATGATCAGACTCCAACTGCTGGGTCATGGCAACCACTGCAATAGCCTCGAGCGCAGGCGGCCTTTCTTTGCCTCTCGTGGTGCCTTCCGCCGTTTGTGAATCAATGGAGCGGTCCCGTCTGAAGAACTATTTGCAACGGATCGTTTGAAAGGCGAATTGGCTGCACTTCGGTTCTGTACAGGAAGACATACCCCTTCGGAGTTCCGCTAAATCCGGGCTGTAAATAGTGAAACCATGGTGCAGGCCTGGACTCTGGATGTGCATATTTTAGGAGCTGATGCCTTTAGCATCCAGAAACTTCTTCAAGCGGCTTCGAATCAAGTCGAAGTCCCGAAGGCATGCCAGGCTCGCTGAGTTTCCCAACTTCAACATGTATTTGTATGGCAATGACGATCTTGGTACCGCACCGTGCTTAACCTCAGCCGGTGCTGGCTAAAGCCTTCGGTGAATCCAGGGGCGGCAAAGGTGTAAGGCCTGAGTGGCTTCAGGGCTCCTTGCATCGGGGGCCTTCAGGAAAAGAGGGTGCAGCTCGAGCGAAGCGCGGAGTCGCAAACTGATTCTGCCAAGATGCTCATCGTTCCGGGATCTCCTTTTGGAAGACTACCCTGCTTGCCGTAGCCAGCGCTTGGCACAGCCTTAACGGGTGCACAGAACTCACAATCTCATGCAAGCGAATTCGAAAACGGCAGCTTACACCTATCCACACAACCGCGGTTCTGCCGCTGAGCCACTGCATCGGGTTGTCTGTTCCTCCAGTGTCGGGATTCTTACGGGGCTGGAAGGCCATACCATGTCAAGCCCCCAGCATCATCTATACCGCTGTTCAAACTCGTGTCTATTGCAGTCCAGCCTGGCGGACACTGGCCTCGCAGGGACACGCGATGGAACAAGGACTCCCGTTCGATGGACAGCACCCCGAATGCAAGCCGAAGCGCGGTAAGCTCTCGTCTCGAGAAGGAGTCCGAACCCTTGCCAGTCCTCGCAGCCACGCAATGCAAAATCATGCAGACGTCCACACAAGTCTGTGCCGTCTCCGGCAACGGACCGGGAGACCAGGCCTTCAGGTAGCTCGGAGTTAACGCCCAGCATGGGCAGGTCGTTCATCGGCCTCTTCCACTGTCTCTGCACTGCTACAGGCAGAGTCCCTGGTTCGTCCCTTCTTCTACGTGCCGTGTCCCTGCAAGTGTCCGACGCTCAAACTGTGCTGTGCGCGCTGCCTACGTTGTGTCTAGGTTTCGGCAGGAAACTGCCTGGCAGCACAGCCCTATCAAGATCTGACCTCAAGCAACCATAAATATCAGCCGAGTCACCGCTTGATTGCTGGCAGGCCATATGGCCGGTCCTTTGGACAACATGCGTGACTACGGCTTGGACTCAGATTATTCCCTCGACAGGCATCGGTCCAGGCGAACAGAAATTCATGCTGGCATTCTGGCACCGACAGCGAAGCCCAACCGCAAAGGCCATTCAACTTGGTCCCCGTTCCGTCCTGCAGGGCCCCTCTTGGGGAATTGCCTCCGCGGCACGGCCACTGCACCGATCTGGGCGCGCAAGCTCTGGATGGTGCAGTGCTTTCACATGTTGGATTGAAGATCTCTCGGTGAACTCAGGACAAGAGCAAGTGTGCAAAGGTCGGCATGCCACCTGTTTATAGCTTTACATGCGAAAGTTCATGACAGATCAAATTGACGAGATCTTTAGCAAAGCACCACGGATCCTGACTGATACTCCTGCAATCCATGCTCATTTGCGCCACCAGTGCCTGAGTCGGATTCTGCCGGCCTTGTGAGAAATCTGTTTACTATCCTTTGAAACTTCAGGTCTGAAACATATTCAGCCAAAGGTGTGTCACAAAAAGCTCACTTTTTGCCGACCTGATTGAGAACAGGCTGTGGTGCCCGCAACTCCGGCAGCATCCGACTCGGGTGTGGGCGGTTTTGGCGCGAAAGTGGAGATTCGTGGGCTGGCGGCGCAAGTGAGCCCGACACAACGGAGTCTTCAGTAAGAGATTGAAACGACTACCGCGTAAGCCGAACATCTCCAAGGACGTGTAAAATGTGTAAGAAATCTACAGTGACAATGCCAACTAGCATGCCCATGTTCACTGGAGCTTGTTTCGTAGCAGTATTTGATCCAGCTAACCCGTAGTCCTTGTGTTGATTGCGGCTTGCTCTACAGCAGTTAAAATCCTTTATCCTGCAACAAAGAGCTAGCAGTAAGGCACAAGGACCGGAAGAAGGGAGAATCTTGAAGCAAATCCATGTTACCCGCATCTGACATCATCCCGAGGCAGCTGATCTACCTTCACAACGTGGTCGCCATAGAAGTGGCCAAGTGGTGATGAGGTTTGGTTCAGAAGCCAAAAGCGACTAAGAAGGATTCGCTGCACTTCCTTCTGGGCCAGCGGAAGACTGCCAGGACCGGCCTTGTGTTTCGGGTCGCTGCTTGGGCGGCATAGAGGCTCCTTGTGAGATGCACAAGCGCTGATTCTAGTTCACTGTGCTTCTTCTCTCGGGTACAGGGGGCTGGCGGCGAGATCTGCCGGTCTCCCTCAACAGCCTCAACATAGTGCCGTGTCCAGCCGAGGTGCTGCAGAGCTGGACGATAATCCATAGCCTTGCCGCACAAGGCGCAAGGCACATCAGCCAAACATCTTCTGACACGACCTGCCGTTAACTGCCGCTAACTGAGTCGGGCACTGGTAATGGCTGTTTCACCGAAGATCAAGCAGCAACGGGGGCTGGAGTGGAGGTGCTGAGGCCCCGGCATGGCCACCACAGGAGATGCTCATCATGTCAAGTGTCCAGGTGTCTTCGCACAATCCCGTCTCCAGTGCAGGCGATCGGCTGCAGCGACAGGCAACCAGAGCTGACTCTTTGGGGTCCTCATGACGCGAAGCTGGGATGAAAAAGGCAAGCCTTAAGACGATACAAGCTGGGACAAGTACAGACGCAGCCAGCTCGTAGACCCCCGTCACTTCATGTCCCGGATGGTTCACATCCTGTCGCCAAGATTGCAGAAGCGCTCGCCAAACAGTTCACTCCGACAGATCCTTGCCTTGACCTGGAGAGATACTCCGCTGAAAGCACCCACCCTTGGCGTGACAGATCTTCAAACATGCAAGCGTGAGTTTGGTCCGAACAAGTACCAGCTTCTGCAAGACTTCAAGCGAAGTTGACAAGTAGGAAACGTTCTACGACAAGGGATCCGAGCGTTTAGCCAGCTGGGGGAAACCTGTCGGGAGAGCGTCTCTTGCTTCGGCCAGACTTCACTTCTTTCAAGCGTCGGAGTGGTATGGTTGGACAGCACGAAGAAAACGTCAGTGACGTTGGCCGGCAGCTTATCCAACTCGACCTATCGCAAAGCAAATCGAGCCGCACCGGCGCGGCCTGGTGACATGTCCCCTACCCTTGTGCAAACTTTGGTCTCATCGTCGCTATAGGACTTTTCTGTAAAGTCTTTCAACCCAGGCTCCCACCTGACATGCCGTCTTCCCTTCCTCAGAAGAGGGGTGTGTGTGTGTGTGTGTGCCCACGTGACTCTCCAGAACTTGCGCAAGGAAACTTTCGACTTTGAAAGACTTACAGAGTGATTGCAACTGCTCAGTTTTTTTTGCCGCCCGGGATTCCCTTGCGGCATAGTTCTGGGATCCACCGATGTGATGCACCGCGCCACCGCTGGCATCTCCAATCGGGATCTGCCCAACCTGAGCTCAAGAGAGTCTGCTTGCTGCCTCGATCGTTTTTCGCATGTTAGAGCTAAAGAAGTCATCTGCCAGATATGCTCATATACAGACAACCGCCTCGTAATCACACTGAGCATGTGGCCCAATAGCCGCGATAGTCCAGCCTCGGAGTCTTGAAAAGTCATGGTGCAGTCTTTGAGGCATGAAAGGCCTCCTCGGACCAATCTCTTGCTCTGAATCAGCAGTCGTCGCACACTGAGTAACAGTAACCAGTAGATGGAAACTACACAAAATCGCAGGACATACACCAGGTGTTCCTAACTTCCGTGATGCAACGTGAAGACTGGGAAATACTCGGAAAGAGAAGCCGCTCCTGCTTTCTCCGTGATTTGGCAGAGTTATTTAGAGTCCGGTCCGGTGACTGTTTGGGGGCAGTGTTTCGCCTCCTCTCACACTCGCACTGGCATCGCGAATGGATGTGCTCTCAGGACGGGCAACACACCATTTGTCACCCAGCGAATGCCATGTGCTCCACGGTAGTCCACCACTTCACGTAAAGCCTGGCCTTCAAACAGGACCTTAGATAAGAAGCTACTATGTCGCGATCTGAGGCGTTGGCTGAGGAACCCCGGAGAGGGCTTTCTCGACCCACGACACGGGACGCAACAGCTGCGGACACATGAGCTCCAAGTCACGCAAGTGGCATCCAAATAACAGTTCGTAGGATCCTCCTCCGTGTCCTCCTCCTGTCAAATCGTCAAGCGTCGTCAACATTTGTCAAGCAGCTCAAGAACTTCTGACTCCTTCTGTTCTACTATGCGCTCGAACCCCGGCTCGCCCCGTGTCGCTCGCCTATCTCTGTCGGACAGTATGTAAACAGCCTGACTTTTGTCGTGGCCGTTTGAGCTTCCTATTCCAAATCTGCAGTGCATCTCTCAATAGCATGTGCTCGACTGGCTTTGTCAACAGTACATGCCTAACCGCCTATCGGTATATACCGTCATATATTCTGGGTTGCCACTCCTGCATGAAGCCGCGGCCCATGAGCTCTTACAAAAGCCGGGCCTGCTCCGGAAACTTGTACTTGAACTCGAACTCCAGGTTCCCTTAGCCGGCCAAGCCCATGGATACAAGCACGGCAGGCTGTTGCGCATCCGTCCTTCACGGCTCCACAACCCACGGACAAATCTCTTACTTGATGACAGAAATAGCTATCACGTTGAAACAAGTCTCATGCCTCCCCATAGGATGCCTCGCAAGGTGTCACATGTGGGACTCCATCCCCGCAGCAAGCTGAACAACAAACGAGAAAAGCCATGCAGAGAGACACCTCGCACGATTTTATGTCGAGCCCGCCACCTTGAACATGCCAGCCACGTCGACCCCATCAACCGGACATCGTGCCCACAGCACGCCGTCTTCTCCACAGCCGTCTGCCCTATGGCCCTATGAAGGGCCCTCCCATCACCCGGCTTCGTGCCCACCCGCGTGTGCAAGCCTGCCCCATCAACCGGACATCATGCCCGTGTTGTTGTGCACGCCCGAACCAGTTCCCGGTCGCACCTCCTTTTCCGACTGCTTCTGCTACCCCGGGCGTCTTACTTTGTTGACCGTTTAGTCTCTGGCTTTTCCGACTGGGTCCGACAGGATTCGCACCCCGGCGAGCACAGCGCCAAGCGAGAAGCCAACCCCAACAGGAGGTTGTGGGAACAAATGTGAAACTGTTCCTGCCATTCGCGAATTTTTGCGCAAGTTGCCCACATGTTTGGATGACTGGACTTCTTCCGAAAGGCTTAGATACGGCTTAGCACGAGCTCAACATGCTCCTGGCCTCAGAGATTGTCAAGTGCGACTTGCTGATCCGATTGCTGCTGGAGTCATATAGCGTCTCGGCGAGGGCCTGGCAAGTTCCCGGAAGGGACCGGGATTCCCAACGCCTTCTCTGCTTGCTGCGCTTATAAGCTCAGACATCTCGCAGCCGCAGGCAGGGCCTGCCTCTATGAACATGGGATCTGCGATTCGCCTGAGGTATTCACAGCGTCTTGGTGATGAGCGTATCTCGCATAGTAAGCCTATTCCGGGGACCATGTTCACACGATGTGCTACCCGAGAAGCTGCAGCATCTCTGACGAAAGCGTCTTTTGATCGCCAGTCAGCTCAACCGCGTAGCCGAACCTTGCAAACAGAGAAGATGCTGGAGGCATTTACATTCAATCCGTAGGTCGGGAAGAAGGTTCACCGAAGATCAAAGCAGCCATAGGGAGACAGACATGGAGAGAAGAGAGCGAGCAATCAAGAGTGATACATAGATAGATGGATAGACACACAGATAGAGCGCATGCACGCGCCCACCCCTGATCTGCGTTGCGGATCCGTGCATGCAGCCGAACCGTCCGGCGGCTCTTGCAGGCACAACATTACTACTCAATAATATCTACCATTGCTTTACCGGAACCAATGCAAGCGACCCCGTAACTTAAGCAGTTGGCGTGTAGCCTGACTTTGAGGTGTGCGGGTGCACTGTCCCTCAGCCACTTATTTCAACCTACGTGTTGCTGAGAGGCTCCAGCGCATTTTTTCGACTCCTTGGGCTCGCAAGGACTGAACACGAGTCGCACAATGCTGCGCGAACTGACTCAGCTGAACCCCTGCTTGCCGGACAAGATTCACCCTCACGTTCGTGTCTTTGACGGGATGTGGCACGGAGAGCTCTGCTTGAATCCTCTTCAGTACATCGGGGACCAAGTTCTTCATGGCCTGCTTTCTCGGGTATCCCAGGCTCAAGACTTTGGCGATGACCGGCCTCAGTAAGAGACTCATACATTTGCGAAGGTGTCGCCCAAGGTCGTGCGCAAGAGACAAGGCTCATGTAAGGCTCCGTCTTGTAATCTCGATGGCTCCCCTTGCCAAAGGCATCGATCTTGTTCACGTGCCAAAGGTGGTCGTCCAGTCTGTAAACACTGAGCATAACGGCACACCTCACCACATGATCGCATCATTGTTAGGCTTTGGGCTGCGGCTATGGTCGAAAGACTAAGGCATGAAGGAGGTCAGGGTGCTCATGTCCCGGACTGATCTGCTCCTCCACAGAGCTGCTCGCCAAAACCTCTGAAGACTCGGCATCGATAACCATGCTCTGGAGGTCGGTGAACTTGGACAAGTCCCGGGAGTTTGTAGGCGAGACGACCTTCGGCAAGGCTGTCCACGTGAGCTGGTCTCTAGATTGTGACCGACGCCCTTCCTTCCATGAGCTTGACATGTGGGTGCTCGGCAAGTCGCAAAAACGAGATCGGTCACGTGCGACGGAATCATGTCGATGCGCACCTCCACCGTCCGCTTGCCTTGGTTGCTCCCTGCTTAAGATCAAGACAAAGAGACATCATAGAAGTTCAACATACATGCTACTTGCATCTGGAGATCCTTGTCTGCTCTCGGCATAGTTGGTTTCCGAAAACATGTTGATAGCCGAAATCTTCTCCTGGACAACTCGAATAGCGGTCAGATCCGACGTTCAGACGGAAGCAACAGCGAACAGTATCGACAGGGCGTGGATGCCATGTATCACAGTTCGCAAGCCCTTGCGGGAAGGAAGAGCCGTCCCACTGACATGCATGCAGAAACCCACAGCCGACCTTGGAAGCATGATGTACTGGGCTGCTTTCTTTGCTCTTGCTTCTTCTTTCATCTGGGCAGCAGCCAAGGTTGTCAGCAACCATTTCGTTCACGATACGGGACAGTCGGCCGTCTGAAATCTGCAGCTGTGCCACATGCCACACCGTACGGTCCAGAGTTTATGATGCCGTACTTGGAAGCTTGCGACCCGCGGCCATCAATGATGTCGAGAAGCCTCTCCTCAACTGTAAGCACCACGCAGCGGGCAACCAATCCCGGCAGTGTCGGTTTTTCATTCAAACCAATGGCTCTCGATTATCTTATCAGCCCTCTGCAACACTTGCACATGTGCTCCTGGTCGAACATCAAACAGCTGGCGTCCAGCGAATCGAAAATTCCTTTCGGATACGTCCAAGCGAAGTCCAGGTGAAGCGAGCGGAAGACCCTTGCCCGGACTGACCTGGTCGGTCGTGACTACTACCAGTATTATGTCATGAGCTGTTGCCTCGAGGGACAAGTTGTGATTCTGCAGTAACCTTTCATGTCGCAAGGCACATGCCGGACCTTGTGTAATCGGCCAGCTGCTTCGAACAAGGTGGCCTGAACAGTCGTCGAGTCTTACACGCTCATTCATCGAGGGATGACTTGAAATGATAGAAAATTACTCGGCCAGGCCAGGTTGCGTGATGCTCCGGCTCACTTGAACCAAGGAGGAGGCGAGCTCCCTGCTGAGGGCAGCGAGCGCGTCGTCCGCATCATCCCTGGTTTACACACACGGGTGGTCGCACGCTGCATGTTTGACTCAGACCAGACTCGCGACGAGCATTGAAAAGGCTAGCCAGAAGCACCAACGAAGCTTTGTTGAACAGTCTTCCGTCACTGGATCCGGGTCCGTGCAGAAGTCCAGCGGATGGATCCTCAGCGATGCTTTTGCCCCTGTGAGGTGGCCTGAGCTGCCTGTGAGGTGTCCCTCAGAAACTACCGCGAGGGACTACAAGAGAAGTTCAGCCGAGATTCACTGAGCTTGGCAAAGCATCGGACTGCCAAAGATCGGCACCCAAGTGGCAGCGACGGCAGATGGCATCCGCAATCTGACGATGCAAAACATCAACTTTCAATCAGCAGCGTGCATCTTAACGATTTAACCTCACAGTTTCCAATGCCTCCAAGCACTGGTGGTCCCGGCGGATATAGATGGCAATCGGCACCTGCATCAGGCCTCGCCTTAACATCGAGGCCGAGTTTGGGCACGGAGTGCTTCCTTGTCTCGAAAACACTCAGCACAGCTCGACTTCAGCTGCGGGGCAACGTTCGGAACGCGGATTCTCGGGCATTCTCTTCCCAAGACAGGTCAATCGGTCTCAGGCATTTGACCTGCAAAACAGGTCTGCGTTTCTGGCAAGAAAGAAAACGTGAGTGAGACCCGTTGACCTCGATGTTGCATGCAACTGGCCTCGTCACCCCGGCCGATGATCTTTCGTATGACACCCAGGCTCTTCTGAATGTTTGCCTTGGCCCAGGCAGTTCGAGGAGGCACCGCATAAGAGGTTGCAATTCTTTCTGCAGGCCGGGGACTTCTCCTTCGAGAGTTTGCAACTTCTTTGGTGTCACCGCCTTTGGCGAACCCACTTCTGGGATGCCTTTCCCGACTTCTAGGTTCACCTGGAGGTTGGCCTCCGCGCATCGGACGAGTCGAAGGATCTATGGAAGGTGCAACACGTTTATGAGATCTGTCAACAGTGCTCCCCAAGCCGCTTCGACAATCTCGCGAGGCAGGATGCCTTGGTTCACTGGCCAGGAGTGACAAGCCAGCGTCGTTAAGCCAAGCTCAGCGGGTTTACACCTGTCTTCGCGAACGCAGCCTGCTATTGCTACTGCCATCTTGGCTGCAGATCTGCGTCCCAACCGGCTCAAACAGGACCTGTGCGGGAGGATAGCTGTCAATGCCAAAAAATTGGCGAAGACTGCAGTTCACTCTGATGTCAACAATCACTAGCCGCCAGGCCTTCATGGTTCCGACGATGGCCCCGGTCGATAAAATGTATGAAGCGCTAGCTTCTGGAGCCTCGTGCGAAATCCCTACTCCCATTGCAAAGGAATGCCCAATCCCCAAATTTTATGGAACATGCTTCTTCTATCAGCACCATCAAGCCAGCACCTCCAACCGATGGCTAGCATGCCATTGCTTTCTTCGGGTTATGAACACCGGTACCGGGTACCGCGGCCTGGTCAGACAAGACCATTTGCTTGCGAGAAAGGCGTTCCTGCAGAATGTCCTTGCAAAAGGGCATGTACTACATCCGGTCAGGGTGGAGGTCTGCGCAATGTGACAATGTCCTTCTCGATACGTTCCCTCTGCTCCACCTCCGCCAGCTGCATCCACTCCGTACTCCTGGGCAGCGTTTGCTTCAAGAGGCTGCTGCAAGGCACGTTGCGAATCAAAAGCATCGCAGCTCAGCAGCCCGATATGCTGGCTGTCCATGTCTACATCCGCCTTCCGCGCCTCACTGCAGGGCCATTAGGCTGACTGTAATTCGGTCCGGAAACCGCAGGTGCGCATACAAGTCTAGGCTGCTGGCTGTCACCATGCGGTCTAGAAGAACACTTCCACATCGAAAGTCTTTTGCTTCCTCTCGGGCTGTTGCAGTCGTCGTCTGTCACTTGCATGCAGCTTGCGGGCTCAACCCTGCTCTGCGATGCATCATCAAGTGTGGCCTGTCAGTAGGCTTGTTATGTTGCACCCGGGGGTTGTGTTCGACCCTCTTCCCGGAAACAGTGGCGACACAATGAACGGCCCTGGACACTTTGGGGCTCGCAGGCTTCCTTGCCCAAGAAGCTCTTCTTTGGGGGAAGGGAACTGCACGTTCTGCCTCTTCTGTTGTTGATCTGGGGCTCAGCGAAGCAGAGCTGTGATTGGTAGTGGTAGAGTAGCGTCAGTGAGGAGCAGTTGTCGTCTTCGTCGTTCACCTTCCCATCCCCGTCGTCGCAGACGCAGCAGCAGTAGTAGTAGTAGTCGTCGTCGTCGTCGTAGAAGCGGCAGCAGCAACAGCAGCAGGAGTAGTAGCAGTAGTAGTAGTAGTAGTAGTAGTAGTAGTAGTAGTAGTAACAGCAGCAGCAGTAGCAGTAGTAGGAGCAGGAGGAATTAGCATCGGAATTCGCATTTGTAGTAGTAGTCGTCGTCGTAGTTGTAGCTGCGACCAGCAATGTTAATCAGCATTTAGAAACTAGCATTAGGATACAGCATGGATATTAGTAGTAGTAGTAGTAGTAGTAGTAGTTGTTGTTGTACTAGTTACTAGTGTTACTGGTAGTAGCAAGCATCGGAAAGCCTTCGACTTCCCCCAGGATTATGCCCCAACCAATGCAGCCCCACTCCCCGCGACCCAAATGTCACGCACGCGAGGCTGAGGCTGTGGACTATGCTCCCCTCACGAACTTAACTCGGTGATCCAAACAACGGCCCGATCTTGAGGACCGAAACTTCACGATTCAGCATTTCTTCCCCGCAATCAGCAGACTCAGACGGAGGGTCTCCTGAGCCAGCTTCAGTCTGCTCACGATCTGAATCTGTTCCTTCTTGCGTAAAGCCCGCCTTTGCTTCCGGTCAGGAAAAGGAAGCCACGATACATTCAGGCAGGACTGCCGGAACTACAAACTCGAAAGGGCCCCGAATGACTGCTCGTGCTGAGTGCGGTAATGTGGCATCTTGAGAAACGCTCTGGATGTCTCGCTGTCTGGGAGTGCAGGTGACTGGACCACGGTGTTCAGCGTCTCATGCATGAGGTGCAATTCCTCTCGGAGCAACGCAATCGAATTGTGCGCAGTCACAGGTGGTTGTCTGGGAAGCAGAGGATCAGGGTGCGGACTTCTTTGCATGTCCGAGAAGCCGCGCGCTCTGAAGCAGCTTGCAGCTTGTCTCGCTTTGTTTGCAGTACCTGGCAAGCGACATCGTGTACTGGAAAGCTGTGATGCGAACAAGCTCGAATGATGCATTCGAGTTCGCATGCCTCCAGCATGTCATGGGATCTGGTCACGAGCGAATGGTCCTGAGACAAGGCGGCAGGGTCATGCATCTGATCACTTCGTCGTCGTCGTAGCTTTGGAAGGTGGATCACTTCGTCGTGGCAGCTCCGGCCGTTGCTGCCGTGTATATTCCCCGATATTCCCCGATCTCTCATGCAGCAGATGCATACAGGCACTCTTCAACCCAGATTAGATCATCGGCTTCCCACTAGAGGCGGCTCATAGCGACCTGAGATTTCAAGGTTCCGATCGTGGACTTGTGCAGACAATTTGCGTGAGCACCGGCATCGCCAGCAGCTCGCACGGCCGAGGCAATGATTTCAAGCTTGTGGACCTTGTACAGAACAGTTCAACTCACAGAAGGCTCAGTTCAAAGTCGAGGAGTGAAGCAGGCATGATCACCTCAACGGAATGGCTGGCGATCATACTTCCTGCATCGCTCAGGGACATAATACTGTATCATGACGAAACCCCCTCCCCTGCACCTGGCTGCCTGCAGGAGTGCTTTCGTCTTCCCGTCCCCGGTTCCGAAACACACAAATGTCAGCAACATGAAACCTGCTCCAATAGGCCGCCGCCAAACTTTGAATGCCGGGCTGCCTTCAAGGCTTCCCCAAGCTCCTTGCAGCGTGCTGAACACCCTCAGCTGTGAATAGCTTCAGAATACCCAGGTGGTTCAAGCGCTTGGCCCCACCTTGAACGTGTTTAAAAGCCCCGATCGAAAGTCTGCAGGAGCCAGCTCTCTTCGCAAGGTCCTGTTCCATTCGGATGCGCTTCTCGAGATGTCTCAGCAGCTCGTTCCCACGAGCCAGCACCAGCGCGTTCACACCAAGATCCTCACAGACGCTGTCAGGACATGCTACAGCAAGTGTGAAGCCGAACAAGAGAAACATCACATCATCACCTCCGCAGGTCGCGTCCTTGGCCGCCTTTATTGCCGTGCGAAGTGGCTCCACACGCTGCACAGATGCCTGGAAACTTTGCGGCATGTATCTGTGCTACGCCGACGAGGACCTTTCTGTCTAGATCTAGGGTGATTCTCGAGACCTTACAAGAAAGCTCATGGAACGCCACGTGCTCCGTTATGGCCCTCATCTCTCCCCCGAGCTCTGCCAGCCTGCGTTCTGCAATTTAGGGGCGGTAGATCTTTTCCAGCACTGTGTACACTCTGGACTTATCCAGACTTATTCAATAAAAATATCGACCAAAACTAGAATTCGAGCCCTCACGTGACTGAAGATCTTCACGGGGGACTGCGAATTCGCACTAGCTCTAACAAGCCGTGAATCCGAGGTCTGTTCGTGTTGGTCCGCGGGAATTGGGACCTAGACACCCCTTGGGGAAGCTTCCTTGTAAAGCTCACGCTACCCGGACATGAAACGCAAAGGGCCTGGCCTCTACTTCAATCTTCTGGCAGGCCGCCTCCCAATCCCGATAAAGGACTCTGGCCTCAGGCATGGGCATGCCCTTGTGCAGTTGTCGGAAGTCGCGAGCTTCAGCGAAAATCAACTCTCTACCACCAACATCTGGGTGGTTCGCTAAATTCGGGTCCGTTTCAGGTCCTTTTTATAAGGTGTCGTACTATATTTGGGACCTAACATGGGACCCTAATTCTTCGAAGCCGATTCCATGCCGCTGCCTCGAGAAGCTCCACGACTTTGATGCCCAGGTCTTCGCACTTCTCGATACACTCCCGCAAGACCTACAAAGGATTTTGAATTATCACATGCTCTCATGTACTGTACAATGTTACTTTTGTATAACATTATACAAGACCTACAAAGGGCACAGGGGCGGTGGCTTTTGCGGGCTGTGCTACTCTGTTACTCTTGTTCAAACCGGTTTCAGCCCGTATCGCAGACATGCGCCCTGCAGCAAAACACCTGTCACCCTGGAGCAACAGACCTCGGGGTCTCCGTGACGGATGGCGTCGTGCAGGGCCTTCAGCTCTTCCAGTTCAATTTCCTGCAGGGAAGGCGATCTAGGGGCTAGAGACGGCAGCAGGGACGGTTGAGTGCTCGCGGCAGAAGCAGGGCTCACCGTGCTTCGAGAGGTTGGAAATCAAGCGATCATCGAAGCCGGCGCACACGCTGTGTCGAGGCTACTGCAAGAGAACGAAGATGCACGCACGTCAGCCAAGCAGCAAATCTTTTCAGCAACTCTGCTGGGATGCTGTAGGCGACCTCGGCTTCGCTTTTAACCCACCGCAATTCTTTCCTGGAGCAGTCCGGGCCAATGCCGTACACTCTGTAGTATCCAGACGCCCAGGGATGCCAGGGGTCTGCATGCTCCACTTCACTGATGTTTGAACTTGCTCGCCTGAATATGCAAGAACCCATTCCAATAATGCAACTCTGCCCCCGCACATGCGAAGTTGTCGTACTGTTCCGACTGAGGTTTAAGCCCCGAAGACAATTCTGAAATGCTGACATGGGAAGCGGAGAAGTTGGGAGATTCTCGAGGCGGCGACTGCATCTGCAAGGGTCTTCTCGCGTTCCTCGATGCCAGCAGCGTCCGCCATCGCTTCCAGAAGCTCCTTCCGTCTTAAAGGCTTCCGGAGTCATGGGTTGCAAATTATCCAATAATCTGCGTAAGCACGGCGATGAGGGGAAGAAGAAACTGAGGCATATTTCAAAGCAGCTCCTCGACCCTCTTCCGCACTTCTTCCTGAGCAGTCGGGCTAGCTGTCACTAAGGCCCATCAATGACGCCCATCAACTATTTAAGTCCACTGTAAGGGAGCGAGATAATTACCCCGCCAGCATTTGCCACCCTTTACGTGACCTTCACACGCTCCCGACGTAGCAGCGCAGCCCTCACATAACCATTATCATCTACACCTTCACCGTACTGTGAGGACTCCCCAATCCCATCGCCAAATAGCGGGCGTGTGCACCTAAGCAGGACGGTCATGAGAAAGCCAAGGTTGCTCGCCTCTCAATGAACTTTTGACTGATGCTGCATTGCTCCGCGCGTGTATTTGGAAAACAGGCGCACAACACTTTATCGGCAAGGAACCAGCACGGAAATCGCTATGCTGTTGGTATTTGGTGTCAGAGAGCAGTAGCGCACCTCTGTCAGGAAGTTGTAGCGAGAGCTTACAGAGCTGGACTGCTGTGAAAACAAGCGTGCATGCGCATGCGTGTTGTTCATCTGCTGTAGAGTACGTTGCCATGTGCTGCTTCTGAATGCTTTCATAATTCTGACTTCGGACCGTCCAAAGGCACTGATGTTTCTCTGGTTGTCTCTCTTCTTACCCCTTCCATTTCAGGGCACACCACAAAGCAATCACTAACAAAATTCAGGCGAGGGAATGCCTCTGGACTGATGATGTAGCAGATCTATGCAGGAAATTGCCTCATTTCTCTCTTCAAGTGCGCTGCACGCACTTTTCCGTCGTTTCTTGTTGCCTGTGACAACTGCGCACGTGATTCTGCAGAAGAAGCATGTGTGCGTGTGTGAAGTCGTGTGCCACAGGCAGTCCATGCGGCTCAGTGTCCGCATCCAGGATACGCTTTAGGCTGACTTGCGCCAGGCGGGCGGACATGATGGTCATCTTCAACTTCACAGGATGGCCTTAGCTTCTGATGGGTCAAGGCCCAATAAGCTTCAAATGTGCTTTTTCTCTTCATACTCAGCTCCGGCATTACTCCGCGGGAAAGCAACGATGCCAAGCTACGAAATTTGACAGCTTTCTCGAGCTCCTTCTTCACATTCTCTCGTCGATTCATCAACCTTGGATGTGCTCGGCTTCATGTGACCAGACTGAAGATGTGGGACTGGTCGCCGATCAGAACTGGGATGCTATGTCGCTCTGGCTACGAACAGGAATCGCTTTAACCGCACCGCCCTGCAACTAAGTGACTTGGAGAGCAAGGAGCGAGCCTCGTGGATCATCTGATGCTCCTTCAAGCCGGCTTTGCTAGCCTGGGCTCCAGCGGGCGTTGGGGTGGCGTGGGCTGCATGCTCTTTCACTCGACCTGCCAAGTGGCTAGTGTGAGAGCCGCAGACAGGTCGGGAATGACCTTCGTGCTCATGGCTTTCCTGGGATAAGACGCATGAACGCTGCAGCCTCATCTATTCAAACCTCACGTGGATGTGATGCCTTCGATGATGCAAGCGAGTCTCTGAAGCGCCCCCTGCGTCTGCCCCAGCAGCTCGACTCTTTCCCGTGCTTCGGGCTCTGCTGGGAGATCCATGCCTGCCGTTGCTGCACTCAAGCCCACAGCCTCCATGGTCTGCACTCCTGGAGACGACCCCCTAAATTAGCATCTTGAAAACTTTCCCCACCAGCCAAGCCAGCCCAACAGTTCAGCCGCCCACTGCAACTTTTTGGCGCGTGCTTCTTTGATTTGCTGGCTGTCCGCTCGGTGTCGACAGGCAGGGAGGCAGGTCAGAGTACCTTTAAGTGCTTCCGACTTCCATGCCTTCCCAATCAGATGGTCTAAACAGTTCAAGGCCCCATTCCTTTACAAGACTTTGCAATTACGGAATCAGGCGTGGCTGTGCAGTTGGCCACGTGACGCTCTGACTCGGACACCCCGAGCCCAAGTCTTCAAGGACCTCAGCTGCATGGCAGGTTGTTGCAAAACAGCTTCTTCGCATGCAAGTCTATTCTGTGCCCAGGAGCCGGATGACAGAAGTCTTCCACATCCCCCATCTGCATAACACGGTTCGCCTTGTTGGGAAAGGATGCCCATGGCTCATCGCTTGCTGGGTCCCATGTGTCATTGGCCCGGAAGATGGTTGTAAGAATGCAGAAAGCCTGCGGATCCTTCTTCTGGAGGCTTGATCGACCGGACCTGTGCACATCATTGCCTGGAACGTGGTACTCATCAGTGCCAACATGGCTCCCGAACCATCTTTGTAGTGCCATGGCGAGATACTCGTCGGCCTGCACCGTCGGTACAGGTTCGCCATCGACTTCTCTGCCGGAGTCGTCAGTTTCATAGAGCTGCAGCTCCATGGCATTCTTGTAAGCCTTTCTGTACATGCACACTGCCCGTGGAGAAAGAGAGCAGTATTGAATGGTGTGGAAAAGCTCCTCCACTACTGCATCTTGCGCTTCACCGTCGTGGACCCCGATGGAGGGGAACAAGGGGCTAGCCCCTCCAAGACCAGTCGTGAATGATCGGCTCACCTCTGGATGCACCAGCCAGGTGTCCTTATCCTCATCCTCTTCCGCAGCAATCAAGAACTTGATGCCCGTGTGCGCAAGGTTGGCCGCAGTGGTTTTGGAGACTGCGGCATCAAACAGCACATGCCTGACGGTTTCTGCTGACTTCTTGATGTAATCCGGCGAAACATCGGGGCCTGCAAGCAGGGGAAGCCCGAGAAGATGGTCTTGCGGATGAGCCACCAAGATGTACTGCGAGTAGAACCCGTGGCCTGTGCTCTTGGACCACTCCTGAAGTTCTTCAGAATCGGAGGACCGTGGGTCCAAAAGAGCAGAGCTTGAAACCAGCGGAGGGCGCGGCACAGGCTTGGCCCCTTTCGGAAGCTTCGGCTCACAGGAGAGTCCCTGGCGCTCGTACTTTTTTGCATAGTCCGGGGGGTCCAAGAAGCCTTCCGGCTCACAAACCCAAAGGCCTCTGTTCAGCGCTAAGCAGGTGCAAGCGAGCCCTGCTGCACATTGGCTTAGATCTGGATTGCAAACTTCGCCTTGAGCTTTGTTCGCCAACTGGACAGCAGGAACAGGCAAAGGTCGACAGCACAGCAGGACTACCTGCGCCGCGACCCGCAATGCGGCGTGCCCATTCCACATCTCGTGTGCTACATAATCAAACGAATCATTGCGTGACTAGAAGAATTGCCACTGGAGGGCTGTTGAGCCGATATTCGCATGATGATGTAGCACCCAAACCCAGTGAATGCCAGCAGCTTCTTGCCTTCCGACGGGCCTGCAGCTGACTCTTGCAGAGGTCCAGCCGACCGACCCCGCCTTCCGCGGCTTTGAGAGCCTCCAGGAGATCCGGGACGCGTGCAGCTTCGATAGCCTCCTCGAGCCCTTGCTGGGCTGCCTCAAAAGCAGGCAATCGGCACAGTTCGAAGGCGTTTAGCCCCGTAGTGCTTGGCAGTTGTGCCGTCCCAAAAACATGGATGCTGGTCATGCCTCCTGTCTACACTGCCGCAATATCAACCCTAAACCCTAAAACACCCTTACAACTCGAAGAGCCATGGCGGAGATGGAAAGCTTCAGTGCAACGCTGGGTGGCCTCTCGGCGGATGAGGCGCTCCCTGCCCACGACGATGATCTCCTCGGGCAACCTCCAGCATTCAAGAATCAAGACTAGTCTACTGCTATTATTAATTGTTGTTGCTATTACCGTTATTGTTTTTATTTTACTCATTATAACTATTATTGCTATTGTGCTATTTATAACTTCGTGTTACCTGAGCTGGGACGCCCGGCCTTGCCGTCTCGGCTGCCTCGATCGCAGCTTTCAGAGGGGTGAGGCCCTTTGCCGTGTCCAGGCGTTCCACGACGAGGTCCTCAGATTTGGCCACCCCTTGAGCTGAATCTAAGACTCTGCCTCTCACAGTTTCTGCAGGCTTGGCATATGGCTTGCTCTGCCTTGTGACTGGTAAGGTGCATTACGAGGCAGCGCACAACCCCTGCCATACTCAACACTGTCGGATTCTAGAGTAGATGCTTCTCCAAAAAATCCGCACAGGTATGCCGGCACGTGGGTCCATACTAGTTCGGATATGTTCGGACTTGCTGTGATCCCCCGGCGAGACAGTGGGAAGCTCCGAATTGCAGTGCAGCGTCCAGCTTGTCGAGGAGGCTTCGAGCTTTGTCAATGCCTGGCCCACTAGGTCACTGTGCGTGAAAACATGCATCCTTGAGCGTCTACTGCGTCTGGTTCTCGTGTTGCTGCCGTTACACTTCACACAGGGACAACACATTTCTACTCACTTCTACTCTCCCCCCGCTGCATCGCTACCAGCCGCTCCGAACTAAGTACGTGTACGAATTCTCAGCACCAGCGACCCCCTCTTGATTGTCTGCTTGTTGGCGATGCTCGACCAACAGCTTCTCTCTTTTTCTTCCCGGAGGCACAGCTGGGGTTCTTGTTTACCTGTTCCTGTGACGCTTGGCACTGCCTTGCCTTTAGGTTTACGTCACCTGGCTCGACATACCCCCATAGCATCGTAGAGGATTTCCAAGTTCAACCAGTCCCCACCTTGAAGCTTTGCATCAATCGCAGCCTGCAGAGCCTGACAACGGGGTCGGTGAAGACAAAATGAAAACAAGCTGCTCTTGAGAACCTGTGAATAGGAGGTTCCGATACGGTGGTACAACCTTTCATGATCGCTTTCGTAGTGCATCCCCAACCTCTCTGAGCTGTTCCGGAAATCGAGCTTTCATTGCATCCGCCAGGTCGTTCTTGACCTGAACCGAGTGACAGCTGATAAGAACAACGTCAGATTGGACACGACAACGACATACTGTGTGAATCGGCCTTCGCTACAGTCTTCATGTAGTGCTAAATCTGGCTTTCATGCTGCTCACTGCTTTAAGGGGGCGCAGCTTAACTCGTAGCGCGTCCTGAAGCTCTGCACCACTGGGCGAGTGGAAGGCATTGCCGAGACTCGGACTTCCCGCAAGCGCAGCAGCAATGCTCGTGCTTCGTGAACGTACTTGTAGTCCTCCAGACACTCTTTCGTGCAAACATACGAAACACACCTGAAAAACGACGGTGGCTGTGAGCTTCAAGACGGCTTTAGCCAAGATCATGTCGTAGTCGTGGACCATGAACGGTGTCGGCCGTCACATCGTTGACTTGCTTCGTCTATGCTAGTCTCCAAAGCAAGTCCTGGAACTCGATTCCCTTGCTGGCGCGCAGGACCTGCTTTTGCCAAGATTCCAGGTAGAGACATCACCAATCACGACTTCTCACGAGTGACTGTCGAGCCTGCTCCAGCTGCTCGATGCTCGGTGAGGTAATCGCAGCGATGATTGCGGCCTTCACAAAGCTTCTAATCAGTTCTGGTGTTTTGATCTTGAGTGCCAAACCAATCATGCCTCCGCTAAGTCCGCACCCTGTTGCCGCGAGATGGCGGCGGTAGTGAAAGACGGGCTCCACCTCGTTGGAATGGCGGTGTCGCGCTCATAAATTCGGAACTCTGGTATGCTTGGAAAAAGCAGCACCACTCTAGCGATGTTTTGGGCTGGCAATAACTTCCCCTTTCGAGGGAAGCTGCTCTGAGCGTTTCAATTCCCAGTCTGTGAGGTGACATGGTGCAGGTGGCAGCTAGTCCTAGTTCCTTTTTGGAACAGCACATAGCTGACCTGTCGGGACGGCGACCTCCAGTACTGGCTGTCATGGCAGAAGACCAGGCTCAGGCTAATTCCAACTCTCACTTCTTCTTGCCTCAGTCTCACGAACTGGAATTTGTACTGTCGAGTGCTTAGATGTAGCCTTGCTGCGCTTTCACACTGGATTGCACATGCGGCTTGAAGAGAGCACTCCATCATAACACTTGAGAAGCCGTTCTTGTTGCAGCTAGGTAGCCTTTTTTGCCCTTCTTGCCCTTCATGGCCGCTCTGCGGGCATCCAGCCGAGCCATGTAGTTGCGGCCCTCCTCTTGCAAGAAGAGCACGGCCTCTGCCTGTGAACAGTGCCGCACACTGGTTGTGCACGTGTCTGTGCATTACGGGAGCGGCTGCACTGCAATAATCGCGCGCACCAACCGTCACAAAAACCATCAACTGCACACGCAGGCGCCATTCGCTGATACTGTTCACGACGCTGCTTCTCGACGAGAACGGCATTGCGCATCTCGCTCTCCTTCTCCTGTGGGGGGTGGGGCTGGGGTTGCTTCGAGAATGCTTGGCCCATCTTGGCCCCCCATTGCAGCCAACCGCACCTTGTAGCTGTCCGCCTCCAGTCCACGACGTTCCTCAAGCTCGGCCAGCTCCTGGTGGGCGGCCGCACGGCGCTCCTTGAGCATGTCCAGCTCCACGGTGCGGTTGTCCACCTCCTTCTCGTGGTCCTTTTTGCAAAGTTCAAAGCAGAGCCGGGGCATGCGCGGCCCTAATTCGGGAGAGGGCGTCGGCGGCCTCACGTTACGGTAGATGCCTCTCTCTATCAGCTATCCTTGGTCCAGGCGATGTTTTCGTCATAGAGGTGCTTGATCCGCTGGTCCAAGAAGGCATGAGAGCGCTCGTGCACTTGCGTCTCCATATCTTGTGCTTGTTTCAGCCTCTCTTCTTCCTGGAGCGCATAAGACGGCACAGGACATCTGTGATGCGCCGTGGTGGTATGTTTTTTCCAGACTATTCAGAGTCCTTCTCAAGCTTTTGCAACATCTGATCGTGTATCCGCAGTAGTGCCTCGAATCCAGCGTGCAAGTGCAAGATCGGAAGAGAGAAACATGTCAAGTTGTCAGCGACAGATCGCTAAGCAATGCATAGCAATGCCAAGTAGAACTGGCGCAAGCAAGGACGCAGCATGCAGTGCACACGGCATGCGCCAGCACGCCAGCTTCTGGCGTCGGGGCCTTCTCACGAGCGCTTAACTTCTTTTCCTCGAACTTGTACTCGATGTCGCCTGAGACCGTCGTCGACGTCGAAAGAGCAGAGGCTCAAAGCTAATTCGAGAGTGAGTATAAAGTTTAAGTGCTAGGCTGATGGTCTTGTTCTTCTGCAGCTCTTCCTTCAGCTCTTTGATCTCCTGGTTTGCAATCCTCAGAATTTCCGCGAGAGCTGAGCCACGGCGAGAATCATATGCATCTATAATAAGGCATGCCTTTGTATCGGCTTGCAGCAAAGGGGCTTTGTCTCCTTCTCCTGGGGGCTGCACTGTGCTGACTACAACATGGGTAGTTCTCTAATTCGGGTCCCCTTTTAGGTCCCCATTATAGTACGGCACCCTTATTTAAAAAAAAGGACCCTAAATGGGACCCTAATTTAGAAGACTACCCACATGCGCAACACCTCCGGCCGCCAAGGCACGTGGTCCGACCTTTCTCGCTGAAGGTCATCCTCCAAATCCTTCACGGCCTGCGAGTTCTTCTGCTCCTGGCCGTGGGTTTTGGGGTATATTATACTGATTATACTATCACCATAATGAGGAGCCCCCAAAATAGTATAGGTTGTCTCCGCACTGAAGCTGTTAAGGACCCGAAACCGTCGCTGCCGTCCTTCCGCTTCACCTCGCTAAGCCGCTCTTGCTCCCTTCGCTCTTGCTCCACCTCCCAGCGCTGTACTTGAAAGGGCTCCAACATGAGGCAGAGGATTTAGGGCACATGTCGACCTTGGAGACCAGGATTGCGAAAGACATCTCCTCAGCCGAATTTGAGTTAACAGCTGCGCTGCGCGTTTCGCCGCTCCGAGGGTCGATCCACAACCATGACACACGGTAAGGCAGGAGCCCCAAGTTCCTTCTTCGTCTCCTCGAGCCACTCGGTCACCTGCCACCTCTCCTGCTGCATCTTGATGAGATTGCCCTGAGCAGTTGAGGCCGGGTAAGAGCGTATGCAATACGGCTCTCCAGCAGTCACGCGAATATGGAGCGGAGATGTGCTGCGCAGAGCTACCGCCGAGCCTGGACGTTTGGATTCTCTTTGAGATTTCTGCAGAGACTCTTGTTGCTTTCCTTGAGCTTGTGCGCGACTTCTTGGATTTCTCTCTGCCTTAGCTTGCAAGGCCCACTAAGCACATGCTGCTGACGAAAACTTCTCCCGCCAGGATGCGTCTCCATGAACTTCGCCTGTGCCGTGTGACCGGTTATGCTGCACAGAAACCGCTAACTCTAATGACTCTAATATATTGCCCCACGGAACCCTGTGTGAGCCCGCGGCCTTGTTGCAAAGTCCCTTGAGTTGGCCACGTGCTGCAATTCGCTCCTCGTACTTTCGCTCCAAGTCTCTCTGCTCCTGCTCACGTGAGTCGTTCGCGGCTCCAATGCGGGTGCAGGCATGACATGGCCCAAAACTGAGGTGATCCTGAATGATGCGCGAGATTTCGTCGCCCATGAACCTAGGCGGTGCAGTCGGCACTTTCAAATTGAGCCAGGTTGCACAGCCGCCTCACGGCTGTGCGCGTGGCTGTGTCAGCTCGTCGCCGTGTACTGATGCGCTCGACGAGATGCTGGTCAGGAAGCTCAGCTTTCCTAACAGTTTGTGTGTTTGCAGACGCGGGCGTGGTCTTTGGAACTTATGCAGAAAACCTCAACTGTCCAGTTGCTGAACAGCGTCTCAATGCTTCCTCCAGAAGGACCTGTTCATTCGAGTGTAAAGTGCCACATTTGCGGATCAGGCGGTATTTTGGGCAAAAGTGGCCTGCGCTCGAAATGCTTCCACTTCTGAAAGCTTGTTAAGAGACATGCTTCTGGCTCAAGCAGAACCAGTGCAACCAATTCAGTCGCACAGGGTGAAACGCTTTCCAAGGGCTTTCTATGTCTTCTGCTTTACCCTGGAGGCCAGCTTGGGCACAAACGGCAACGTGCCAAAGAAAATGCAGGGCTCCTCAGTCGCACATCACCTTTCCAGTTACCCTCTGCCCAAATGCGGCCAAGGGAACTCCGACCAGCCTCCGGAATTGCGAGCCCTCAACCTCCGGGCAGATTTGAGCACCAAGCGTTGGATATGCTGCTTGAAAGCCTTTTCCGGTCGTATTTGCAGGCTGCCAGCCTCAAGAAGTGTTTCTCTGTGGACTCCGCGGCGGGCATTTCGGCGAAAGGAAGTGGTAGCCTCAGACCCACTCCGATGTGCAAAGCGTGATCTCAGAGCTGCAACGTCTGAGGCTTCAGCTCGGGGAGCTGCAGGACTCCCTGCGGAGTTCCAGCTCGTACCTGCGGAGTTCCAGCTCGTACCTGCGGAGTTCCAGCTCGTACCACCTGCCGAGACCGGAAACAATAAAAAAGTCTTGCATTCAACGTGCAAATTACAGCAATTCAAGCTTTCACTTCTGCCACTGCTTTCCGTTAAAGTTGCAGCTGCCTCTGCGGCGCCGGCATTGACCTCCACTGCAACTGAAGATTATGCTTACAAGTGTATCAGGGACATGTATGGGCACCCGCACTCGCTTGCTTGGGGCCGGTAGGGGGAGAACCCCTGCCCAGCAGGCCTACCCGGGCCTACCCACAAGCGCTCTCTCTCTGTCTGTCTGCCTTCCTTCTCGCGGGTACAGCTCTGCACGCAGTCCCGCGCCGAGGCGCCCTGTCTCTCTTGCTTGCTTGCAGCGGGTACGGGGTCCCGAAAGACCCCTGGCCCGAGGCTCGCGTTAGTTCGTCTGCTCGGCCCCTATTCGGCATGGAAGAACGCCCTCCTAAACCATGACGCCTCATCAACCTGGCTCATGTACCATTCGGGTCTTCCACACTTCAAGGGCAAGATAAAGCCATAACACACAAGTTTCCAAGTGACAGCGACCCTCTCTCTTCCTTCCTTCCTTCCTTCCTTCCTTCCTTCCTTCCTTCCTTCCGCCAAGGCGCCCCCTCCCTGTTGGCTTATGAGGGAAGATGCTTTGGGCTCTTCAGAGTGGTGTTCACTCGTCTGGCTGCTTCGAGCGGGAGTGCTATCTCTTTCCCTTTCTTTCATTGGGCATGGGGGACTGTTGAGGTCCCCCGGTCTGTTGGCCCCCCACGTGTTATGGGGCTTTGAGGGGACGTGAGAAGGTTTGGGGACAACAGTGTTTGGTGAACTTTTCGGTATTTTATCTGGCTGCTTCAACACGACAACGGTATCTCTTTCCCTCTCCCCCTCCCTCTCTCTCGATCTACTTCAGCACTTTCTTGCTTTTCACTGTCTTTCACTACATACCAGTCCACTGGCAGCTTTGAAGGTTGTTGGGACAGTTTTTCGCGAGGCCCTGCAGGCTTGATCTTGGCTGTTGCTCCATGCCGCTCGGGCTGAATGCCCTCGCATCATGCACATTACGCAAAGTCGAAGAAAATCAATTTATTGTCACATCATGTGTATGCGATGGGCGCGGCTCAGTATTAACAAACGGAGAAACCGTCGAAATATGACGAACACATTCGACTATCGCGCTAGATTTCGTGAAAACGTCGGGCCCCACTGACAGTCGCGCATGTGTTGCTCATTTGACGCAGCCCTCCGAAACGCCGCAACCATACGCAGGTGATGGGTCGCTCGACATTTCAGTAGCCGCTGCTTCCTGACCGAAGTCAACGAGTCCAGGAAGAAGCGTTGAGTAATTACTGGAACAAGCCGAGGTGTCGTCAGTGCGCTTGCAACGAGGTGGCACATCGTTGTGGCTTGCTGAGCTTTGCAAGATATGATACCAACCATATCAAACCTGTTTAGTGAAGAACATGGTCTGTGTCCTGCCTGCTCAGGTGATGGCAAAACATCAAAGTCAATCAAAGTCTCAACAAGCAGCTGACGAATTTGAGCTTGCCTCTTCAGCTTCGCCTTCTGGCTGCAAGGCAGCTTGAGGAATGGTCCAGCTTACCTAGGCCAAAGCCCGAAAGGAATCCCAAGTCTCGGCTGGCCGCCAAGTCCACGCTCAGCCAAGCTGCGGCGTTGTCCTCGGGCATGCCTTCCTTTAAAACAGACACGGCATACTCGTGCACACACCTTAGTCAAGAAAACTGCCCCTGTCCACATGCTAACCCTCGGGAAACGTGCAGCTAAAGCGCGCCCCACCGGTCTCAGACAGCGCCAACAAGACCTTGATGTAAACAACAACGATGGCAAACACATGGGCGCGCAGGGGCTTTGGGGAAACGACATGGCTCGTAGCTTCTGCAGTCTCTGGAGATGTGGAGTGTTTGGCCAAGACGCCTGGCCCTGTCGCACACGACATCTCTCCACGCGTGGCACCAAAGGGATTGTCCAGAATTCCAGATTCGGCGAACACCTGGGCCACTGAAGTCGCAATACATGCCTTCCAACAACTACACGGGTAATATCCGTCCTAAAAACCTTAGGCCCATCCAAGACGCAAACGCGAGCCAGCGTTTTCATACTTCATTGTCATCATACTTTCAACAAGACCAGATGCTTTCAGCCGCGTCGTGTGAACAACATCCTTTGTCTTGACCGTTCCCTTTAATGTAGATGGGCTCTTCTTCTTGCTGTCGTTGTGGTACTATGCATGTGATGTACGCCTAAACTATGATCAATTGGCTCTCCAAAGCCCCAACTCTGGCTGCTAACCCCATCAGCCTCAGATGCCTCGATTCACAACACGCCACCTGGCCTCAGTCGGGAGTCCGAACCAAAACCGCCTCACACAATTCGGCCCTGGAATGAACAACGTCGGACCTGTGGTGTGGCTTGTGGCCGACTGATCTCCCATCTGGTGGGAAGCACTGGGCGCAACTTCCAGCCTGAGGGCCAGACGCTCCAGAGCCAACCTTGGCCACATTGGCTGCAAAGTCAGGGAGCAATGACTTCAGCCTGTTTGCAACTCAGGCCGAAGGACACAAGGCAACCAAACGGAATCGTCTTAATAATACAAAAGACAAGTAGAAAGCACGAAAGAACAACAGCCCACTCGATTCTTCCAGCGTGTTGCGGACTCGGAAGTCTTGCGAAGCCCTTGCTGCACCGCGTCAGTGCAAATTGACGTTCGGAACAGTACCCTCGATTCTGCCACCCACAAACGCCCAAATGCAGTTGAGATGCCCCTGGCAAGTTTGCTTCACTTCTCTAAGCCTGACTAAGCTTACTGTGGGTCGATGCAGCCAGGCCACCGAGTTCTCCGCACAGAGCCCGAAGAGCATGTAGCGTGTGTCCGGCCGGAGACCCAGCAACGTGGCTTGGATGATGCCGCGACCCCGGTCCTGCAGAGGCAGCCAGCGCGAGAAAGGCGAAAATCTTCGCTCTCCGGAAGGTCGGGGCCGGTCCTCCCGCAAGGCTTCAGGAAGCCATTGGCCTGAGTTGAGACGTGACATTGCACCTGTCTGGCTCGGAAATCCACAAAATCCCGAGATGGCATTTTTGCGGCCGAGGCGCAGGGTCTTTCCTTCACGGCGTCCGGGTTAAGGTTGTGCTTTTGTGCTCGTTTCCTGCTCCGGTGAGGCTTATCAGACCTGGGGCTGCTCCCGTCACTGCCCTCCTCGTTTCCGTCCTCGCCAGTTGTATCCACCACGCGCAGGGTGGCGATGTATCTCTGAATTTGCTCTGTGTGGATCTGAAAGGCATCCTTGGTTGCCTCGTTTCCAATCTTGCCTGGCCTGGACCACTCGAGCTCCACTTGGGCCGTCCCGATCGATGCACATGTCAAGCCCGCAGGAGCAGGGCAGTAGGCATTGATGCGGCAGTGCGCCACACAATCCCGACTGCTGCCGGCGACATTCTCGGCCCGAACACGGAATTCGTATTCGGTGTCTGGTATCAAGTCTTGCAGCTCATGCTCCGTGACCTCCGGCTTCAGGACAACGGTCTCCTCGGAGGTCGAAGTCTTCACCAAGACTCTCACGTGATCAGCCTGTGCTTCCTTGGGTAAGTCCAGGAGTTCCAACGCATTCCAGCGAAGCGTCACGTTGCGGCCTTCGCATCTTAGCTGCAATGACTCCAGAGGTGGAGGCGGCATCTGATTCCACACCGTCATTTGCACCGGCTCGCCGATGCATCCAATGATTCGTTGCTTTGAAGAACAGAAAAGCCGCAATTCAAAGACTTGGCTTTTTGGCATCTTGCCACTTCCGCCTCTCTGGGAACGGCTGAAGGAAGGCATCGACATCTCAACATGGCCCAACATCTGAGGCTGGCCATCTGAACTTTTGGGCAAGTCCGCGCGCAAGTTAGGATCCACGTTGTTGAAGGCCTGGTGGCCCAAATAGAAGCCACCCCCTCCAGCTGCGCAGTAGCTCAGTCCCGGTGGCACTAAAGCAATGAAGGGAGTGTCGCCCAAGACTTTGCGTGGGACTGGCCAGGGCACGGGCTCCCTCTCATCCTTGAGAACTGTATGGCCCGACCCATAATAGCTGCATGGCCCTTGCAAGCGATATCGCACGACACATGTCTGCCCAGCTACGAGGCGGCAAGAGGCCGTGGTAACAACGTCCCCGATGCTCGGGAATAAAGACTTGTGAACACTGACCTTACATGTGACTTCTGCAAAGAATACACGTCCAGAATCTAAACGCTTGCAATCACACGACCGGCGCCGTAAGTAAAGTCGCGTCACCAATGCATCCCGAACCTAAGGGCCCCCTGGCACTCGGAGCTCTTGAGCGACAAGGCACCATCTGGCCACGTCGGAGTTCACCACTGTGATTGGATCTCCATACCGCTATCTGATCTGCATGATGCCTGAACATCGCCGGCGCAAAGGGAGTTCAGTCAGGAAAATCGTCCCAACTAGTGGAGGAGGTGGCGGGCTGTAGCATACCGAGTTGGACAATTGACATGAGGAGGATGACTACAAGTACAACAACGCCCCTGAATCTGCTCGGCACGTTGCTAGCGCAGTTGGGAACCTAGTGTCCAAACCTGTGCAAGCTATCGCTGCAAGTCTTATCCGAGGCACTGGTACATTGCAAAGCAATGCTCCCGGAACTTGGATGCGCTCTGTGCAGAGACACTGCCTCGCGGGTGGCAGGGAAATTGCACCATGCTGGGTCTTGCGCGAAACAAAACGGAAACAAGGGGGAGACTTAAGAGAGAGTCGCGTGATAGACCAAGAAGCCAACAAGGGAGCTGCCGTACATGTCCCACAGGTGAGCGAAGCGCCGCTCCAGTTCCGGCAATTCCGGGACTTCTCCTTGCACAAAAGCCTGGCGAGCTGGTTTGTCAGAAAGCGACTCTCAAGACACTGCAGTCGAAGCTCTTGTCTATCGGCAGCGTGCTTCTTTTGTTTGGTCTCGCCTCTGGAGGCAGCACTGCAGCATCCTTCTGACGGCTCCTTTCGACGGTCAACCTGCATTGTAGTTGCATGCCGCAGGCATGTCATGAGGGCTGAGCCACGAAAGACGTGTACACACACACACACATGCGAAGACTCCGAGCCCTTTGGCCGAGGCACATTCGGCATGCGAGCGCATCGTACAAAGCTGGGATGGTGTGCACCTCCACACCCCACTGAATGTCCAGTGGCGGCTGCCGCAGCATTTGCGATAGACTCTCAGTGCCTCGGATCTGACAAGAGAACGGATGTAACAGTAGATACGTCGCGATGTGCAGTTCGGATGTTGGTGCGTCCGGTCCCATCTGCCACTCTATCTCTTGCAGTGAGGCTGCCGATCTCCCTGCTCGCCCGGGAGCTATTGATGGCTCGGTAGAGGCGTGCCACATCCTCTGGCGGAGGGCTAACTTTCTCCACCGTACCTTGCCGCATCGTACACAGAAGACCGGGGCCGTACATCACAGCAGTTGCCAGTAAGGACCAATGGAGCGAAGGCGCAAAGGTGCTCAAACAAGGAGGCCGGCTCTTTCAGTCCACTGCTGATGGCGCTGCGGCCCAGTCCGTGCTTGAGCTCCAGCTGGCTGCCCTTGGTCGCCAGAAGTCTTAGCACCTTCAACTGTTGAGATGCTCACCTAGTTACTGCTGTAATGCTGTGCATTCAGATTTCGTTGGCCTGCCGATCAACCCAGAACAGCCCAGGACAAGCCAGGAGGCTAGTTCCAAAAGGCTCGGTCTCGGCGGTGCAACGAGAGAGAGCTGTCTTTGACACTCCTGACAAGACTCGAGCTGTGGCCTTTCATCCTGAACATGACTGTGATACTTTGGTGGGTACACTGCTGAGGCCTGCAGGTCCACCTTTCCGTCGCCGTCTTCGTCGAGAGATGACAGCACCTTGCACACCGGAAAAGTTTATACATCACACATAGCCACATCTCTGTATCCGATAACCGTGTGTCTTGCTTCCTATGTGCTGCTTCGTGCCAAACTGCTGCTGTCCTCGCGCTCTGTCAGTGCAGCGCCATAATGCAGCTTGGCAGCCTCTTCCACCGTCACGTCACGCAGGCCGGGGCCACCGCGGAAAAAATGATAAATCTCGTTGGAATCGATGTATTTCACTTTGGGGGTAAGGAAATACGTTTGAATGAATGTTCCTATTGTTGCAGTATCTCTCTCGATAAGCTGGCGAAACTTTGTCAGAATGCTCCATCTCCTCACGAGCTCGTCCATCACACGACCGAGTTGAAGCACCGATCCGGACGTCAGTCGGCAGATTTGCCTAGGTCTCTTCATTCTGTGGAAGCGAAAAGCTTGCAAAAACCCTCTTTATCCGAAGTGACACACAAGCACAACATCTTCTTCTCGAGAACCCAGATGCTGATGGATCAACAAGGCCTCAAACAAGTCCTCTGCATCTTGTGTAGTTGCGATAGCCTGCTCTTCGTTTTTGTGATGTGGCCCGACGCCTTCGGAGAAAAGGCTTTCGGCCATTAAGCTCTTCTTCATCAGCCCCACAAACTCATCCTTGTTCGCCTCGTTCGGAAACTGTGACATGGGATGGTCAGGATTGCGAAACAGCAGATGATGCTCACCGGCTGCTGCACTCTTGGCTGCGCCAACCTGCTGCAGATTCCAGGAGAATACTGAAGCCTGGTCATCAAGTTTCTTGGGAGACGGTCTCGCAGCCAGACCTTTCAAAAGACCCAGGGCACCTGACTTGCTTCGCAAGTTAATGGAGCGACTGGCCGTGCTCAAACTCTCGTCAGGCTGGTTGTCTCCATCATTTGTGTCGACCTCGTCAGTAGATCCTGCCACAACCGTTCCTGTCTGCATTAACCATATCCGGACACCAGCAGCCTCGTCGAAATCTGCTTGCCAGAATCCGACACCATGTCTTTCTGCTAACGGTCCATCACATCCGACAAGTAGGTCAGATGTCAGAACGCCATAAAGTTCGCGCTTTGTCTCCAAGTCCAGGTTTTGAACCGACAGTACCCGGCGAGCACGGCGCCATTCAGCGCAAAAGTGTGTCAAACATGTTGGCATTTAAGCTAGCTGAGCCAGCACTGACCCAGAATTAGGGTCTGTAAATGGCTGCATTTGCGCGAGCAAGGTTTCGATAACACACATCATAGTAACTAATCACTTTACCTCATTCTAACCTTGCTAGGTCATGCTGCAGCTCTGTCGCTGCAATCCAGTTCATGAAAAGCTTGAAGTCTGTGCTAAAAACCCAGCATCGCCCGGTGACAGTGACTGCAAACTGCCTGCCTGGTCAAGCGTGGCCGTGCACGAGCTGAAGTCGGGCACCTGAAGCCTCTTTGAACCAGGCGTATTCGGCAACGCGGGCCGTTCAGCAGGTGGTGGGGCACCCACCCCGGCCATTGGCCCTTCCGCAGAACCAGCCAATCGGCCGCGGCTACGGCCATTCTGTCGCCTGCTTGCTGTGATGGCCGTCGCCAATGCTGCAGTCGCCCTCGCCGGACCAACGGAGCTCCAGCTCCGGCGTGCAGGCTGGGAGGGCGGGAAAATGCGGCAGGCACGGCGCGCAGGAGGGCAGCTTGGGCAGTTGAGCCATGTGGATCGCCGCGCTTGCAAGGAGCCGGCGGCCATGAATGACAAGGGCACACCTTGACCCAAACAGCAATATGATTGACTCAGGCTGGACTCAGGACAGTTCTGGGTGCTGTTGGCTCTGCTTCTCTTGCAGCATCCTCAGAGCTGACATGTGTGGGGCGTGTCTGACCTTCGCGACATGTAGGCAGCTGCGGCTGGCGAGACGGCAGCATGCACGAGGCACAGGTGAGTTGCAGGCTTTAGAGCAACAAATCATAACAATCCTTTCTGCAGGGCACACGCAGCTTGATGCAGGTGTTTTGAATTGCAAAACACACATGTGCAAGGTTGCCCGGGACATTCACAAATCATCACAACAGAGTGTCGTACAGCTTCATTGTCGCACACTGCCGACAGCAGGGACAGGATCCCGACAATCCTGACATATTACTGCCATCAAGGCACCCGAAAATTCTCTGATCTGTACAGCTTCCACCTTCATCCTGAGGATGGGTGGATGCCTTGAGGCATCTCGTTTATGCATGTTGTGGTAGGTTGCCGGATGTCTATGCTCTAGTGCTTTCAGGCACGCGGGTCGTCAGCTACCAAGCTGCAGAACTTAAGAACCCAGAGAGTGGGTGGGACTGCGGAGCGCAGCTCACTTCGTCACGGAGTCTGCAAAATCCACTTGAAGCAGTACCTGGACTTGTGGCCCAGGGCAGAGAGAAGCAGCACGGTGACACCGAGGATCTGGCTCTTTGGGAGGCCTGGCCAAGGGTGGAACAGGCAAAAGCGGATACAACCGGTTTCCTGCTCTCTGGTAAGCAGGGCTGTGGAAAACCGAATCCGAATTGGAGGCTGCTGGGCTCAAACCATGGTGCAGCTTCAATTGTGACATTGCGCCAGGGTCTAGCAGACTAATTATCAAGACCAGGCTGCTGGTAGCATTTATGGGATACAAGCCCCTCCAGATCAGATTGGAACTGATTCCATTGTCCGACGTTTCCCCACTACAGAGCCAATCATGGTCAGTGCTTCAGTGCGCAGACCTGCCGCGCATTTTGTTGACAGTTTCTTCCTCGCAGGGTTGGATGGCCCTGTATGGCCATCCTTGCACGAATTTGCTTTGCAAGCCGTAAGCCAGACGAGCTCACACCTGGCGTTGAATTTGCTCCAAGCTATACATCACCTCTTGGAGGCCTGATCGCAGCTGAGCATTGTCGGCAGTGGTGGCACCGAGCTCGCACCTTCAGGGGATGCAAGGCATGGACAACCTGCATCAGTACATCACAAGTACCTTAAGCTGCCATAACCTACTTTTTTGTAGGTCCTTCTTAGAAACCTTTATAGAATTTATAGGGACCCTAGCAAAAAAGTAGGTTTTGGTAGCTTAGGTAGGAAAAAGGAAGATCAACTTCTGCCAATGCTTGCTTTGCAGCCGCAGCTTCTCCAGCTCGACACTCGCAACGTGCAGCGCCTCCGTGCCTTCGCGTCTTTCGTCTGCGAGCGCTGTCATGTCTGCCTTGTTTTCGGGACCCCTTCTACTAGCAGCGGCCAAGATGGTGTGGCATCACAAGGATTATGAACATTGGTCCATGTTATACTTGCCGAGGGGGGGGGCAGCAGGACGAACATACTCACCCCTCTGAACTTTCCAAAGGCGCCACCGTATCTCTTTTGATTTCCATGCCCCTATCGGGTGGAAGGCCTAGGGTGCGAGTACGCTTGAGCAAAGTCCGTGTGTGCGGGGATTGCGCAACTCTCGTCGACGCCTGCTCGGTTTTCGCACCCAACAACCTGCAGCACAAAACTAGCACAAATAAGTCGAAGGGGGTGCTTCGTCCTCTCCTCCGTCCCTGGCCAATCGACTCCCAAAACCAAAAAGGTCACGCCATCTAGAGCTATCGCGCAGAGCCGCTCGAGACTGTCCAGAATAAATTCAACTCTGTTGCACAAAATCGCTGCCGGTCAGGAATATACGCTGGTACTGTCGATTTTGTCACACATGACGCTGCTCGGGGTGTTGTTTATCCTCAACTATTGACCACCCCAGGGCAGGTGATGCATATACCATGTCGACTTTCAACGCACACGCCAGCCTGCATCAGGACGCTGCAGATGAGAAATGCGGCGAACTGTGCAGTGCCACACGATGCTACGCACGTGCATGCGCGCGCACCCGCACACCCGCACGCCCGCACGCCCGCAGCCTGCCCGCCCGCCCGCCCGCGTGCGCACACACACACACACACTCACACTCACACTCACACTCACACAACGCACAACGCACGGACACACACACACACACAGACACAGGCATGTGCCTTCAGTTCGGCAACACGACCGGCATCCGGCATGGCCGTCTGACGCGGCGTCCGCCTCTGAGCTTGCGCAGCAGCCAGATCACTCTCTGCGGCTCTGAGCGCTTGCTGCGCCGCTCTGCAAAGCGTCCGCTGCTCGGCGACTTGCTCTCGCAGCTGCCGGCTCCGCTCAACACTGGCCAAGCGATCGAAAGTGTCTTTCTCTCTTCCTTGCTCCAGCTCTTGCTCCAGAGAGGCCACATGGGAAGAAGCATTTGTCAGGTCTTCCTTCAGCTTTCGCTGCTCCGCCAACCATGCTTCCCGGGCAGCCACGTGCTGTGCGTCAGCCTGGCGGCTACTTCGAAGCCGGTCCGGAGCAGCCCGGAATGAGTCGAGTTCCGCCTCAAGTCGCCTGCGCTGCTCTTGGCAGTGCCTCGGCAAACACCGTCCCAGCTTGGGCACACCCCTCATGCTACAGTACCCTCTAGGAGAGCCACAGCTGAGACGTTCTATGCTCTTTCCTGCAACATCAAGAGCAGCCTTCACTAAATTCTTTTACAGACATGTGCAAGCAACTCGGTCGACACCTGGGCCCAGCAAAGCGTTCGAAGTCATGCCTTTCTTTTTTGAACGATTGAAGTTTGAAGTATTGTAGACGTATTGGCACATTGGAAATGCTACGTAGGTCTGGATGTTCGATGGCAGCTCTTACAGCGTTACAAAACGATTGGCCTCACGTGCAAAGCAGTGACGACTTGCGATATTTTTTGCACAGATACAAAAAAACTAAGCAAGGCTGGCGTCCGTGGACCCACTGCTGCATTCAAGCTGCTGCAACTCTGCAAGTGTCAAGTCCTCTATACAAGTCCTGGAGTAGGACTGAAGGTCGAGACTCGCTTGTTCAATATTCCTCTTCGCGCGGAGCTTGCTGCACTCCTGTTCCAATCGTCCCAGTTCCGCACGCTGCTGGCTTGCCAAGTCTTTGAGCTTGTCTTTCTGGATTTGTATGATGCCAATGCGGCGATGGAGGCCCATGCAGCCCAAAGGTGGGCCGTGACTTTGCCGGCACGGAGAGTCTGAAAACCGCCGTGCACGTGCAGCACTCTGCCTCGGACGGGATCGAGGCATGGATGAAGCACGAACTTCAGCTTGCGCAGTCAGGTGCCTTCGGGCCGATGTTGCAAAGCGCTCCTGTGATGGTTCGAGTGTGCTTTGTCACTCGGCTTACCTCCGCACAACTCGGCGTGATGAGGGAGACCCACATCCCGTATATGCACTCGATGCATAACTGGAGACGAAGTCTGCCGTGCACGGCAAACTCGGGCCAGCAAGTCATGGGCAAGCATGCAAGCGGACGAATGACACGGCAAAGAGGCTACGAGTATCCGAGGCCAGAGACATGCATGTTCGTAACCCGGCCTTCTCAGGTGAGCGATGTAAAGCTCCAGGATGTGTTGGGGTGAAGCCTAACAAGGGCGGAGCAAGCCTGCTCCCAACTACAGTAGGATTTAGTCAGGTGAAGTACGTTATCATGTGCGACCAACCTGTCCGGTCTAGGATCGGTCTATGTATGGAGCACTACTGCAGGACAGCTTTGAGACTGATGCAGATTTTCGCAAGTGTTCTACAAAGTCCCCGAATGTCGGTTCCGCACCTGCGCCTTCTGCTGCATCGGAGTCCCACGTGCTGCCTTTCAGCAGCACTGCCTAGGCAAATTTACAGAAATGAACAAGAGGCTGTGCATGGGGAGCACGGACAAGCTGCAACGCTTGGTGAATCTTCGCGAGTGTTTCGTCACCTAGCAGCAAATTTTCCTGGGCCTCCACACCCATCCTGTTGGAGTCTGCACCAGGGCCTGCTTCCAACCTGCGCTCCGCGCGAGGTTGCAGTCACATCAGCTCGTGGACGTTGCCCCCGACTTTTCTGGGCATCACAAGAGGCAGTGGCATGTTGCGCGCTCCGGATGAAGCAGGAGCCATAACCCGCGAGCTGCGAAAGCTTCTGTCCGACGGTGGGCCTGCACTTAACTGCTCACCTCTGCGCTCCGAGCACCTCTGTGACGTCGAAGCCCTGAGCCTCACTGGCTCAGGTTTGGGCACCGGCATCAGTCCGTCTGGTTGAGACGCTGCCGCCGCCTGTCCTCAACAAGGACGAGCAAGAAGATGGTAACGTCTGCCTGCACATGCAATAAGAACACCAGCGCCATTCCACCACTCCAGATGCGTAGGATGTCCAGGAAAAGGCTCCAGACAAGAACAAGCACAAAGCCACTCAAACCTCGAGGGAAGCCTCCCAGGTAGTGCAGTAAAGCGAAGAATGTGGAATGCAATGCGACGGAGATCGCCGTGAGAAGTTTCGAGTCGGAGGCGTCCCCTGCCAGCACCGCTCCCAGAAACATCATTCGGAATTGAAGTTCCTCCTCAGCTCTGCTACAGTATAAGCATACAACAAGACTTCTGTTTCCAGGAACGAGACCAGCAGACTAACGTTCCGCCTAGGATTACTACAGCACTGACTCGAGAAATCACAGGCTCGCGAAAGGCATTGACCACCGCTAGGGGCAGCACAGACGCCGGAGACATCAGCGGCGCCAAAGCATCCTGGATAGGTCCGTGGTTGCCACGCACCCAGAGTTTGGACCAGCCCACCAGAGCCACAGTGGAGATTGCTACGCAAATGGCAGACCAAAGCAGGGGTGCGCCATCCGTGCGTCCCAATGTAAGCCCGGCCTCTGCGCGCATGTCGCCGGACCCAAACGTAGCAATCATCCCAAGCACTAGCAAGGACCACCACGGAATGAAGTCGCCCAGCGGTAGCTCCAGCGACGGCAAAGTCATGTGCGCCAATGACAGCAGCGAAGCACACGGCAGGACTGCAGTTGCCGAGGCCTCCCAGTCTTTCGCCAGCTTCGCGCAGAAGCTGGCCCCGCTGAAAGCGGTCATGAGCTGCAGCAGCTTTGCAGGCCATGGTGTGGTCACTTTCTCTTGGTAGTCCTTGCCTGCTCGGTCACACAGCTGCCATGCGCAGCTTGCTGGCCATGCGATCAGCAGAAGCTTCTGTTCAATGGACAGCGGACGAGACGCCGGCGAGGCCGCCAAGACTGCACAACAGAGGACGCCAAGACCCCATGCCCAGGGCCTGGGCGGGTGTCCATCCCGCCTGACCCTTCCCATTACGCCGACAACTACCCCTCGCGCCTTTCTCTGCTCTTTGAGTCTATAGCTGTCCGGGTCTAAGGGCTTCTTAGATTCTGGCATATAAACGGATTGTTGCACCATGTGTGCCTTTGCCTGACTGAGCCGAAGATACATTGCAAGCCTGGAGCAGATGGCAGCCTAAGACTCCGAGTCTAGCTGTCCAGTTCCTGGCGGCCTGCCGGGATCCAGGATCGGGCCGATGACGAGACGATGCGGTTGTTCCATTCCTGCAGGACTGGAGCAGTGCCAGTGCAGGCGTGTCACGCTCAGCTGTCAGCCGCTAGCCGCCAGCCGAAGACCCGAAAATGCCAGGTCTTTTCATGCGCTACCCCTTTGCATCAGCCATCATCAGCCTCTGAAGACATCGACCCCTGTCCTCAGTAACATCAGTAGACGAAAGCGCTCGATTTGTGGGCCATGCGATGTAGGCCATGTAGGCTTCAGCCCTTAAGCGCCGCGCGCTCTATTGGCATCGACTCAAGCATGGCGAAAGCCTCGCGGTCAGCCTGACAAGCCCATGGCGGTGCAACTTCTGCCGAAGTCTACAAGCCAGCCAGGACCACCCGACTCTCAGGGAGGACCTGCGTTCCAGCCTCGGTCAAGACTGTTCAAGGAAAAGCGATCGAAGTGCCATGGCACAGGCACCCAGTATGCGTATCATGGGCTCCTGTCTGTTTTGCTGTCTCGTGCGCAGGTGTCAATGCATGTCAGTCCACAGGCCTTGCGTCAACCTCGTGCTTGAGGATGACGGGGGTCGCTTTTGGCTTTTGCTTCCTTTTTGAGCTCTTGCCGAGGCTTTTGCCGTCCTCTGCTGCCCCCATCCACCAATACGTCGATTCAACGCCAGGCTCAGCGCCGCCCAGCTGCAGCCCTATGCTGCTCAGCATGGTAAGCCATAATATCGCAGCCAAGACCAGAAGTGGTGGCATGAGCGCACTCGTGGCATCTTCTGCGCTGCATGAGAGTGGCGTGGCAACTATCAGAGATGCTGGGGCAGTGAGGCCTTGCCTATGCCAGTTGCGTGCTGCGGCTGCAAGTGCTGTGCGCGCTGGCGGAGGAAGCGCAGGAAGCGAATGAGAAGGAGTTCTCCTCGTTCGAGGGCCTGCTAGGCCGACCGGGCCTCCCTTCGCCATTCCCTCAAGGGCCTAACAACGCTGCAACAGTGCTTGCGGATTTGGGTGCGTTTGTAGACATCCTGCATGCTGGAGCTGTTACTTGTAAACTAGGCTTGATGCCATCCTTCGGTGCGGGAGTCTGCATTTGGGCCCACACGCCGGCAGCTTCGATGTGTAACGATTAGACAATCTGACAGTCTTGCAGGTCCTATACACGCTAGTACATGCTTTCAGTGATCCAAACGGTGTTTTCCCGTCCTGCTGCCTGCAGTGGCTTTGACGAGCCGCCGAGCTTGCAACTGCAAACCTGTTTTTTCGTTGTCACTGAGTTTGACAAGTGCTAGTTGTGGTGTCCACTCGAAGGCGCCAATCTCTCGACAAGAAGTGACCGTCACATGGCAAAAATGTAGCATCCAACAAGGCATCGGCATTCACGATATGTCCAGGGATGAGGAGGTGCACCCTCGCCGCGCTTCGAGTCTCGGGCAAGTCATTCTTAACAGCCAGTACTCGGCTTGGCCGTTCCTCTTGCTTCAAGTACTCGCAGCTCATGAAATGCTGACATGTGCGCACGGATGGCGTGGAGATGGCAGAAGTGTAAACGACACCGAGTTGACAATGTAATTCCCACAAAAGCTTGTCAGCAACGCTTGTGGTGATGTCTGCAGTTTTGCTATGCACAAAGGTGAAGTTCATGGCGTTCTGGCAAATGCCGAGCAGTCTTAAAAGCGTGCACATCCCATCCGTGAGCGGGAGCGCATCTATGGCAACTAGAACACGGTCCACGTTCAGCACATCTTCGAGCATATGCGATTTCAGGATCTCAGCATTCTCGAAGCCTGCTTCGGCAGTGCCAATCATCTGGATCACTTGCACAGAACGCTTGCGGCCACCAATTTCGCCGAGCCCTAGTGTTACCGCAAGCTTCAGGGGCACATTCTGCGAACTGCCGGTTCGGGACACACTCCTGTCGAAGAGCATGTCGATCAACCTCGATGTCTCTGCCATGTCTCCGACAGCCAGGACGGTGAAGAAACTCGAATCATGGCTTACGTGGCAGTCCTGCCCCTGGTAGCTCAGGAACCCTTCCAAACCTTTGAGACTGCAGGAAGGCACAGGTTCCAACTCCCACGGCCACTTGTTGAGCTTAAGCTGGTGTTGACCTGCAAGTTGGGATAGGCACTTTCTCCAAAGTGTGCCTTCAACGGCGCTCTGTGCACTGAACCAGTTGCCTTCTGCGATGAAGCGTGCCACATGCTCACAATTGCGGAAACAAAACGAAAATGCCCGGGCGCCACATACCAACTTCATGCGATGCCGCACATCTTCGGAATTGCTAAATGTCTTTGCGACCTCGTAGTATTCTGGATGCTGGCCGTGTACGTGGACGACGGCCTCGGCAACCTTATCTCCTCGAAACTCTATGGTCCACTTCCCGTCTGTTATAAAGTAGTGGTCGTAGATAATTCCAAACAAGCTGTAGCGCTTGTAAGCCAGCATCAGTTTTTCGTCAAATTTCGTGATGTTGAGCGCTTCTCTCTGCTGCCGCTCTGCATCTATGCAAAGGCTGTGTACCTTCAGTTTTCCATGTTGTTTCGCTCCAACCCATTCCACGCATAAAAACAGAACCTTGCTAACTCAATCCTACAAGCTCGCCGCTGAGCCCTAGCTCGTCATTAAATTTAACGCAAGACGATCAAGCGGCCTTTGCACAAGCAGACTGCTCCTCTCTCAGCATGTGCCAGTAGTAGCTGAATGGGTTGAACAGAAGAGAATCCATTGGAAAGAATCCGCTTGTCCGTGCTTCCCTGACAGGACGCTGGCTGCATGCAGATCATCGCAGACCCATTGCCCATTGTCAACTAGTACTCCTTCTCCTCATGGCGATTCGAACACACTAGCCACTACCTGCAGAGCTGCTCCATGCTTTAGCACAGGTACAGAAGTAGTTGCTCTGTCGAGCTTTTATTCAGCCCTCGAGACTGGGAGCACGGACTGCCAGGCAACATCCAGAATGGCTGAAAAATGTGCACTCCTTGCAAACCGGCTTTTTCGGACTGGGGCTCGGACGCCAGCCAATGTGCAGACCTCAGAAGCGTTGGTCGATTACTGGTCTCCCAAGATCTCCGGAGCACGGATCATACGGATCAGATCATCGAACAGTCAGTTACATCGGGAACGGGGTCAGAACAGGAGGCATAGCGAGCAGTGCATCCTTCGGAGCTCAAGACGTCGGGTGCCATTTGCAACTCCAGAAGCTGAACTCACATTCTGCGAGCAGCTCTGCAAGTTGACAGCGCGTGGTCTAGTCCGTGGCATCCATCTCAAGGACCCATTGCGACCATTCCCTTAATTGTTCTTTCTCAGCTGGAGAAACCCGTGCCTCATGTGCCGTCAAAGCCTTTCGGATCACCTCGCCACTAAGCGGAAGGCTTGAGCTCGACGACTGCAAAGCTGCACGTAGCAACTTCTCTTCCTCGGGCGAAAGGTCTGCGCTCAAAAACCATTCCAGCCACTGCTCCTTCACAAAGCTGTCATCCTCCTCAATTGCTGCCTGCTTAGCAGTCTGCTTGTCGGAGTCCGCCTTTTGCTTTTCTGCTTGCTGTTCCTGCACGACATCTATGTGATGAGACTCTGAGGACTGCGAAGCTTCAACAATGGGTGTCTTCGTCACCTTAGCATCAGTGCCGATCGCCTGTGCATCGGTCTCGAGTGGGTGAGCAAGGGTCTGAGAACTCGGTCGTGCTTGCGAGAGTTGCTTCGGAGCTGGAGCTCCGCTTCTTTCTGTGACTTGGCCGGTGCCTTCCTGGGTCGACTTGGCCTTGCTCGGCTCCAGGCCAGCGGCACTTCTTGGCTCGGCCGCTTTGGTGCCTGCCTCTGTTCCACTTGCCGCCTTCTTGACTTCCTGAGCTGTTGACGGATCTGCTGATGACACCGGCTGCGGTTGGCGATCTTGCGCCTGCGTCCGGGCCATCAGATTGGCCAGATATGACCTTTCAGGTGGCGGTGCCGTGTCTTGCGTGTGCGCTGGCGGTGCTCTGTCAGCTGATGCAGTTTCCGGTGCAGCTTTCTTGTCAGGCACTGGCGGTGTTCTGTCAGGCGCAGCTTGCATGACTGGCTCCGCCGTCTTTTCAGCCAGTGTTCTGTCAGTTGATGCAATTTCGGGTTCAGCGTGCGTGACTGGCTCCGCCTTCTGTTCATGCACTGGCGGTGTTCTGCCAGTTGATGCTGTTTCCGGCGCAGCTTGCATGACTGGCTCCGCCTTCTTTTCAGCTTGCGTGACTGGCTTCGCCTTCTTTTCAGGCACTTGTGCTGTTCTGTCAGCTGACGCAGATTCCGGTGCAGCTTGCATGTCTGGCTCTGCCTTGAGTTTCTGCTCATCCTCCTCTGCCCGGACTTGACTCACGGCCTCGGGTGGTGCTTGCTCGTGGTCGGCTTTGCCTTTGCCAGAGGCAGCAGACTGACCAGCATCATCACTGCAAGGGGCCTCGCAGGGCTTAGGCCCAAGGGCCTTTGGAGGCATGGCAAGCGCTGCACGGTTTTGGCTGATCGTGGACCGAAGCCAAACGTTTAACATGCGCTTGTGCAGCTCGGGCAGATGTGGAGATGCCAGGTACTTCTGAAGCCCAAGCATTGTCACTCTTTCGTCTCCGGCAATGGCCTTAAAGGCCTCCTCCAATGCCAGGACGTCTGCCTCCTTGTCCCGTGTCCTGCCATTAAGCCTTGGCAACATGTCGACTAGACTAGACTAGAAGAAACTGCAACAGCCCGACACGATTGAAATGCAACCGAGGGTCAAGTTCGCAAAAAAAATCACCCAATGGTCCAATGTCAGCTCCAACCTTTGTGCCTGTAGGGCACGACAAGGGACCTAGCTCAAACCCCGCTGTTTGTTAGGGTGTCCAATGTGAGTATAGCAGTAGCGTGCCGTGGCTCATGCAAAGCCACCATAAACGACCGGTCAACTCCCTGCACCCCGCGCAAGCCTGTCGACCTCCTTCTGTTTGCATCCACTGCGTCAGGCCTGCCCGAAGCTGCTCAGAAAGCTTTGTGTGCTCGCCACGACAAGCGGTATCGACCTCCAGGAGTGAGATCGTCCTGTTCCCGTATCGCTCCGGGAATACTACATCGAGCTCTTGCAAGGCTTGTGGTGTCAGCTCGACACACTTCTGTACCGAGGACAGCCACTCCTTCCAGTCAAAACATTTGACTGTCAGGATCTTGGGCCCATCCACTGGCATTTCCTCCGCGAAACTGTCCAACTTAATTTGCAGCAGCTCCTGCAGTCGCGCCTCGTCCATTTGCTGTGCTACCTGCTGTCCATGGAAGTTCTGTTTTAGTGAAATCTTGTCCCGGAGCCTCTCAAGCTCGACGAGAAGGAGCTCCTTGTGGGCTGCCTCTTGCCGTTGCTGACGCTCCTTGCGCTCGAGATCTTGCTTCTCCTGGCGAATCTGCCACGCCTTCTTCTCCTCCTGAAGTTGCTCCTGCAGCTCGTCCTGTAATTCTGCTCGCTTCTGCTCCCGCCGCTTTCGCCGTTCGCCCTCCAACAGCCGCATTTCTTGAAGCTCATTCTGCAGCCCTCTGTGAAGCTCTTCGCGCCTTGCTTGGCGAAAGCGCTGGTCTGCCTGGAGGCACTCGTCTTCAGCCTCCTTTTCAGCGGACTTCGCCTGCCCCAAGCCCAAGTCATCGGACTCCTCCAACGGCACCTGTGCCACGTCGACTTTTGGCTTGGGTTTCAGCGGCTGCAAGGCGCGGGGGTGCTTCATCTTCTCGAAGACCTCGCGCGCGGTGCCCGGAGTCTCCAGAAGCGTTGCGATGTCAGGCTCGTAGGCCAACATGGCAAAGGCATGTCCTTCGGATCCCTGGGGTTGCGCAGGATCTTGCTCCAGTTTGCCGGCCTTCTCCTTCGGAAACAGTTGGACGATCTTATTCTTGGGTGAAGTGCCGGGGCTTCGACGGCCCAGTACGTGCAACTTTTGCTCCCACATCGCACTCTCATGTTCCAGCATGGCGATTTTTTCACGCAAGAGCTTCGTATGCTGGCGACGCCAGTCTACTTCTTGCTGGATGTGCGATGGCAGGCCTGGGCTTTTCAGACTTCTGGGGATGAGGCCGACATGCGTCTCGTCGGAACATACAGGGCAGGCTGACATCTCAGCATCGCTCTCAAACTGTGGCAACCCACGAACGCAGCGCTCGTAGATTCCAGCTTCGGCTTCGGAGTCTTCTGATGCATCAGCACGAAAGCAGCTCCTCGCATCCAGCCTTTGCCACAGTTCAAACCGTGACAACACTTCTTTGCATGGCTCATGGCTGTGGGAAATCTGGAAATTGAATGAACATGTCGTGTCATCGTTCAATCTCTCCAAGTTTTCCCCTTCCAGGCCTTCCGACGGCGCTTTCCAACTCTTCGAGCCGCTGCCGGAGAGATGCATCGTGCGTAACTCCGACTCCCACACTGTGCAGCGCATCCAGCGGCATTGGAACACGGCATCAGCATGGACGGCGGGAACTATTTATGGGCAGATCTCCCCCCACCCCTTCATTCACGCTCGATCTATTTCAGCTGACAGCTCAGCCTGCTAGTTCCCCGTTTCTCTCGCCTAGGGTCCTGGACCTCACGTACTCTTCACATACTGTTCGCAGAGTTCGGACCTTTCCAGGCGGCGGCGGTCGCACTTCGGCTGACAGGAAGTGAAGGAAGCAGAAAGGATGGGACCAAGCGGAGAGGAACATCGTCCCAGTGCAGTCGCGAACACGGCACGTGATCAAAGCCTTCCAGCAGGAGGACTTCAGGCACTTTGGCACACACCTCTGCCTCTCATAAGTGCCAGACTTGCGAGCCTTACTTGCAGCGCAAGCTGCTCCCTCGGACGGGACCTTAGCTGCCAAAACTCTGCAAAGTGATTGCTCCGGCTACTCCGGGGAGCTGGCACGCTGCCCGCTCGCCAGAACAGCTCCGCTAGCCGCTTGGCTTCTGCTAAGGTCTGTGTCCTTTGCTCAACGGTTGATAAGGGCGACACCGCAAATCCCAAGCTACCAGTAGGGTCTGGCCCAGGACCCAGCCAAGCAGCCCAAGATGCTGCAGCCTGCCGCTTGCCTGGAGCTCCGACCTAAGTCGGAGAGGTTGAGATTATCCGCTTCATGCAGCAGAACATGGCTGATTGGTTCAACCATCTGCTGGCGCACAGGTCCCAGCCACAACAAGCTGACCATCTGCCACTTTGGGCAGTTGAGTTTGTGAGAACTTCAAGCCAGCTGTCACAATTCAGCTTTGCTCAGGCGAGGGAAAGCGTCAGGATCGTCCTCGCGGGTGTTGGTCCCGGTCAAAGCCTCTACGCTACTGCGCATGTGATGCAAACGCAAGACCTTTGGCAGACCGGGCGAGCCTTTTCGAAACATCCCTACCATCCTGCAGCAGCAGTGTCCTTCATGTAGTTGGCAGACTGCTGCGTCAACCAGTCCTTGGACTGGAACCATGCGCCACAGACGCGAGCCCACATGCGAAGGATCAGCCGAAACACGCTGCGACGCTTCGCGTTTAGTCTTCCGCTCTGCATGGCTGAGTCAGGAAATGCAGCCGGAGGGGCCACCAAGTCTTGCGGCCCATCCTGAGACACGGAGCCGCACTGACTTCGCACGGCGATTCTCAAACTCTAGCCGCTGTAGCCGCGTGTTGATTCAGCAGCTGCCACATGATCAGCGTGCAGCAAATTGAGAAGTCCACTGGCCGGTTTTCGCCGAGCATCTAGCTTGCCGTCAAACTTCTTTGGGTTGCGGTATCCTTTCCTGAAAGCCAGGCAGCATTCACTGCATGCGACGCTTTATGTGGAAAGGCGAGAACTTCGTTCAACGATATCACGTTCATCTGCAGCTTCCCCAGTCCTGGGACCTTCAGGGCCTTCCGAGAGCCCCAAGCTGCGGAACATGAGCGGGGTCAGTAGGCGCTAGCCCACCTTTGCAAGCAAGCGGCCGGTATAGCAAACCTCTTGGCAAAGGCCCTTGGAAGTTGTAGCCCCAGGTGTCTCCTCAGACTCGGGTGCAAGCCGACGACCCCGGTAGAATTGCCTTGCGTCTGACTGTTTCACCGGGACAGGCTTCCAGTGGATGAGTCGTACCTGGCGAGGACCGCTTTGCGAAGATCCTGTGCCGCATGCGGAAACGGCTAAGGCAGTGTCAGAAAGTGCGAACTCAAGATCAAGAGCATGCTTGACTCAGCGAATGCATCCCCGTGTCCCCTGCATCCGGCGCTGCAGGGAGGACATAGCCACTCTGAATCACGCAAACATGGTTGACTCAGCCCTGCCTTTGTTTTTGCCTTCCTCGGCATGCAGCCGCGAAACTTCTAGCTTGAGCTCACGCTGCAACATCAACACTACAATATCTGCATTGCCTGCGCAACTTGCAGTTGAGCTGCTTCAACATGCCTGAGTAAGCTTGTGCGACACTGTGGAACACAAGATCAGGAACGACAGTCCATCCGCCCACCAATTTCAGATGAGGCTGTCAGGTGTCTTCAATGCACGCTTCTACTACAGCCTGGAATCTGAATTTCAGCAGACTGGCGGGCAGCATATTCCCAGATGGCAACAGCATGCGCACTTCGATGAGAAGCATCGAAGAACAAGACTAAGACCTGGAAGCGAAGCGGTCGCTTGCAGATTCCAGTGCCAGAAGCAAACATGGGACTCTGAGCAGAAGACAAACTTGTGAAACTTCCCCTGGGAGATAACGCCTGAAATGTTCCTTGGCTCCGGGTTTCTAAATACAGCAAAGGCAGCAGCGGATCTCTTCAGCTTTTCGCACACCGCAGCCGTTGGGAAGAGTTGCGCCAAGCATCTCAGCCGTGACCACCTGCAACTGGTTGCGCGGCTACGTTTGTGCCGTCGCTCCCTTAGGGTACCCTGCAGGGAAGGGTGAAGAGTCCCATGACGTAGCCTTGTGCTCGTGGGGCGGTGGTGGCAGCTCATCCAGGCCGGAGGTCGCTTTGCCCGACACAGAGGTCGCAGGGGTCGCCTCACGCGGCCTCGAGGCTGCATTCGTCCTGGGGCTCTCGAAGGCGTCATGTTGCACTCGGATTAGGAGCTGAAGCTTCTCATAGTGTCATAGCCTTTTGGTAGGATTTCATGTGTGGCGAAAAGTGGATTGTCTAAAATCATGTCCGAAGTCTGCCAAGGCCACCCAGCCGTATCGCATTCCTGATAAGTATACTCCTTGCGCTCTCAACGCCTTAGGGGTTTCGTCCCATCTGCTGCCATACCAGCATGCTCGCATCCAAGACGCCGATCCCATCCGATCCCCAGGCCCCGTCCTGTACGACTATTGCCTCCTCGTCCTCCTCCTAGTAGGAGCAAGAGTACCACTACTATTGCTGCTGCGACTTCTGCAACGACTAGTACTAGTACTAGTACTAGTACTAGTACTAGTACTAGTACGAGTACTAGTACTAGTACTAGTAGTAGTAGTAGTAGTAGTAGTATTGCATTGAACCGTCGCACAAGATCCGAGTGCATGACGAGGGCAG